GTTATCACTGAAACGGGAACGAGGAAGCTTGTAAAGAGGAGGATATCAAAAACTCAAAAGACGACCACTGATGCAGACGGAAAGCCTTCAATTGAAGAGTCCGAGTCATCAACTGTCATAGATCCTTCCCCTGAAGCTACTGATGAAGCCAAAACCCCCGACTCGCAAGTTGCATCAGAGCTCAGTGCAACTAGAAAGGGAAGTGGCGACGGGTCGCTTAGGGATGTTGAACAGACCGACAAGATTACTGGGGAGGGAACTTCACGTAACGGAACACAGGACACGGCCGTCCATTTGTCTGGCAAATCGCAAGACAAGCGCGACAAGAAAAAGAAAAAGGCAAAGCCTCAGGAATCGTCTGCTCCAAGCGAAAGCTTAGATCCCAAAAAGGTTGAGGAAGAACTACTCCAGCTACTTCTAGCACCTTCTAAGGAAGAGAAGAAACGGAAGCCACGTAAGAAAGGCAAGAAGAAGAGTAGCGACACCAATAAGGCGTCGGAACAGTCCCAGTTGTCGAAGGAAATGCCAATCCATTCGGATGCGCCCGCTCCAAAAGCTGATCAGCGAGATCTCATTGTTGAAGTTCAATCTCAGGAATATGGCCACGCCGTATTGGTTACCCACTTCGATGATGTCGAGCATGAAAACAAGGAATCTGATCATGAAACTTATTTCAAGGACGATTCAACACCTGCGGCTTCCGAGAGTGTCTCTGAAGGACATACTGCGCCCAAAAAGAAAAAGCACAAGAAAAAGAAGCGAACCAAGTCAAAAGATAACCAAGCTGAAGACGAACCGACTCGATCGCATTCAGAGGAGTCTCAGCCAGTGATGATAGCAATAGAAGGTTCAGCTGAACCTAACGTTGTGCCTGATGATGGTGCTTCGACAGTGTCATCACATGATACAACCGAAGATTCCAGTTCACTCAAAGTGGATTCGCACAGACGCCCACGCCGCAAAAGTCGAAATCGTAGCAAATCGCCGCGACCAGTAGACACCGAGCTAGACGATCTCGTTCGTATGATAGAGGATCCAAACGTCCATCCAGAACTACCACCACCTGAGGAGTTCAAGAAGCCTGCGGATGTGCCCAAGAAACACAAGCGCAAACATCGGGTACGTTCGAAGTCTCCCCAAATGCCGAAGCATGGAAGTCAGGCGCGGCCATCAACTTCCAGTGAGTCTGTAGACCAGCCAGATGAAGCACTGAAGGTGGATTCAACGTCTTCAAGTGTTGAAGAGTGTAACGTCAACACGGTAACTGAACCAAATCAGGCCCTGATCGACGAAGCCTTCACAACATTTGAGGAAGCCGATAACCTCAAGGGCGGTCGCCAGGAAGAAAGTGTCCAACAGAAGTCTCCTGGCGATGCTGCATCGTCAAAAACAGACGTTGAAGTGGCAGAAGAAGCCGTTGAGGCAGTATCGATGCCTGAATCACAATCAGCAACGACCGAACAGCCCGAATATTTAACGAAAGCCAGTATTAAATCTAAGGAAAAGACGAAAGAAAACACGAAATCAAATGAAATCACAAATGGCGCCTCCCTTCCTCACGTGCCTGAGTCTAGGCCAATGCTGGAGGAACAGTGCTTGTTGCAGTCAGAAGATCCTATCGTAAAGAAGTCAAAGAAGACAAAAAAGAAAAACAAGGCACCGAAACTGGCGAAAAATGATAACAACACTCAACCAGATTCGAAAAAACACGAGGAACTGCTGACGTCATCCGAGCCAACTCAGGAGACAATGGTGACAGAGGGATCCAATGAAATGCCTGCTGCCGAAAAAGCCGAGCTGGCTCTCTCTGATTCTATTGAGGTGGCTGAAGAAGCCTTTGAAACTCCGGGTGACGATCGTCCGGATAACATAGAGCACTCTGCTACCATTGAAACACCGAGTTCAGGTGTGGTGTTAACTGAAACTGTTTCTCCGTGTTCAACGCTGGAATTCGACGAACAAAACTCTCTCCGAGAGCCAGAGGTAAAAGAAGAGGAGGGACTGGTTTCTGAACTTGTTTCACAGGTGAAAGGAAAACTGATTGGTGAACCCAAGATTGAGGTTGAGACTGAAAGAGAAGTAGACAATCATGGAAGAAGTGTGTCCATTCGGCGTATTCGAGTCATTGTCATTGAAGAAGTAATTGATGAACGTGGCCTACCAATTACTCGAAGACGCGTTTTGAGGAAGACAATGAAGGTGATTGGTGATGCTGCTGATCCCATTATTGAGGAAACTAAACACCCTGAAGAGGTTGAGCTAGTACGTGCACCACAGATGCAAGAAGAGCAGGATGCTTCGAGTGCAGTTTATCGTGTCACCAGCGAAATTACCCGTCTATCTGACGAGCCTTCCGAAGACGAAACAACCGTCAATGAGTATGTCGATGACCAGGGTCGGCTTATCAAGGTGCGAAAAATAGTACAAACTGTTACCGATAGAGACGGAGATGGGCGACAGGTGCAGCGCCTGGTGACAAAGATTGTCAGGATGGTCGTTTTGAACGGTGAAGAGATCCCTATGGTTGAAGCGGAAGAAGACTCTTCGATTCAAGCGCTGGAATTTGACGTACAGAAACGCCCCGCAATGACTCCGGACAGCTCTGTCATTGAACAGGTTCACGTGACATCGTGTGACAGCCAGGTATTAGATCGAGAGGACGATCTTCCAGCGTCAACGAACTTGAGCAATCAGCAGCGTCCTGTGGTCAATATTTCCAAATCTACTGGTCTTCCACTGTCTGCCAGTGAAGTATGTACGGCGGAGAAGACTACTTCGATTGAAGATACTTCAATTCCCGCTGAAGAGCACGGGAAAATGACAGCCTCATCTCCAATGGAAGAATTTGTGGTGGTGGATTACCAAGAGCCAGTGGAAACGGCAACAACAAGCCCAGATTTCACTGAGCCAGAAGAAGTGCAAGGGCTGAGCAAGGTCCAGTTGCCGGAAACGGTTGTTCCGGATGTCGGTGTCAGCGCAGCATTTGAGCGGGAAGGCGCCGTTCCTGACATGCGCAAGCCCACTGAAATCGGTCACCTGGTGCTGACTGAGAGAGATGCCATCGCTGGTACAGCTCAGCAATCTGTTGAGGAGTCTGCTTGGAGCAAAGATGATCCGCTCCCTAGTGCCACATCCGGAACGCGTGGTGTTGAAGGCGTTCCTCCCATTCCAACAGAATCTTGCCAAACTGCACTAGAAAAGGAGTCGCCATTAGAAATGAACCAGTTCCCTGAAGCTCGACAGGCTGTGGAGGAAAATTCGGCACAGGAGCACCTGCATGCAACTGCACCTCAAGCTGTGAATAGCTCTGTTCCAGCGGAGGAGCAGTCTGTCTTAGCGAAAGAAACAGTTTCAGCTTTAAGCGAACCTGTGGTTACGTCTACTGCCTCAAATACATCTACATCAGCACTGGAAACTGTTGTTGACCCATTCGCCCAACCATTGTCGAAGGAGCCAAACGATGTCTTGGGTATCGCATCCGAGTATGCTGTCTCGGAAATGCAACAAGCAGTTGAGGACACACAAGGAAAAGAAGATGTACCAGTCCCAGAAGTACCTACCTCTTTGCAATCGCAGCAACAGGATTCCGATAAGCAAACCTCCCGCTCGGATGGCAATGAGAGTGACGTCCCCATCTCAAAACCCATCATTCAAGAAGAGGTTCAAGAGGCGGTGTGTGAACCAGTTCGACCGATTACACTGCAAACCGTCCAGGCCATTACAAAATCAGACGAAGAGAGGAGTACCATGCATGACAAAGAAGTTGTCATCGATGAGCTTGATGAACCTGCTGTTCTTCCATCTGCGCCGCCAGCTGAAGCGGCCCTGGTTGGTAGCATTATTCCAGCCACTCCTGAAGTCGATGTCACAGAAAAACAACCTGTCTTGGAGCAATCTCAAGTGTCACCAACAATCACAGCGGAAGAACAGAGAGACTTGCCTAGCATTGATTCAGAAAAATCGGAACATGATGCCAAGAGCAAGAAGAAGAGAAGGCGTCCAAAGAAAAAGACAAAGGATGCTGCTAGCGGAGGCCTTCTCAGCAGGCTGACGGGATATTTCATGGGCGGTGATCAGCAGAAAGAGCATGAAAACTCCGATGGTTCAGATGCTGAGGTAGTCGACATAAAAAACACAGAAGACATTTCCCCGGAGTCGTCAAATGCCAACAATGTTCAACTACCGGGGTCTCCTTCAGAAGATTTTGAAGTTCTTGATATTCCTGATGAGGCAACGACTGTTCTAGAAAACGATCCAAAGATTTCGCTTTCCGAGGACATCTCTGAGCCGGTTTTAGAACAGCAGCGTCATCACCAACAAGGCACCGTCACTCAGCCCGCGGAAACTCACCTTTACCCACATGTCGAAGAGAAAGCAACTGAGCCGACCTCGACAACAAAGAAACGAAAGAGGAAGTCAAAGAAAAAGAAGACGACGGGTAACGACGACCTACATCAAGGAGATGTCCATCAACAAGCACCTTTTGAAAGTGACCACATTCAAGTCCCTGAAGAACAAGTCTTAGACACTCTGGAAGTCAACCTCAAGAAGGAAACGGAAGTTGCTGCACTGAATGATGTTCTGGGTACGTTAGATACTGCGCCGATTACCTCTCCAGACATTGAAACAAGAGTTGAAGAAGGTGTTGACGACTTCGGTCGCAAAGTTGTTTTTATAACTGTGTTCATTACCGTCATTTTGGAAGACAAAAACATCAATGGTGAAACAACGTACACAAAGCAGATTTACAAAAAGATTCAAAAGACCACTACAGGCGAAAATGGGGAACCCCAGGTAGAGAATATAAATGAGCAACCCATTATCATTAGCGACCTGAGGTCTGAAGAAGTGAACGCCCCTATCAAGACGCATACCATTGAACAAAAGCATGAGGATCGTCTGGCTCTTGAAGGGACGTCCGAAGTCAACGCAATTCACATCAAACACGTGCCTGAGATGACCGAATCGGCAGTGATTGAAGAATGTCTTCCAACGTCTAGGGGAGCCGTAGTTGGTGAACCAGGGGTGGAAACTACTGTTGAGGAAAAGTTGGATGAACAAGGTCGACCAGTGAAGTTCAAGAGGATCTATGTCACCATTATTGAAGAAATCGTGGATGACACCGGAGCCAAGCGGACCGTCAAGCGGGTGGTCAAAAAGACTCAGAAGCTGTCTGAGGTCAATGGGAAGACAGTCACTGAAGACGTAGAGGAACCTGTTGAAGAGCCATCTGTTGAGGAGCTCGAGAAACAGATACTTGACGATGTGCTGCCAGACAAGGCTTCTCTGGTCGGGGAACCGAAAGTGAAAACGATTGAGGAGAAATCAGTTAACGAGCATGGAAAGCCAGTCATTGTGAAGCGATCTGTTGTCACCATCTATGAGAATGTTCCTGCTGAAAACGGCAAAACTGTAGTAGTTCGGAAGATATTGAAAAAGGTACGCAAAGTCTCCGAAGTCGACGGAAAACCAGTTGTCGAAGAGTATGAAGAGCCACAAGAGACGGAGACCTTGATGGAAAGTATGCCTGAGGCAACGGAGGCTTCAGTGATGGAAGAATGCCTTCCGGTGTCCGAGGGAATCATAGTTGGGGAACCAAAGGTGGAAACTGTCGTTGAAGAAAAGTTGGATGAACAAGGTCGGCCAGTGAAATTCAAGAGGATCTATGTCACCATTATTGAGGAAATTGTGGATGACACCGGAGTCAAGCGGACCGTTAAGCGGGTGGTCAAAAAGACGCAGAAGCTGTCTCAAGTCAATGGGGAGACCGTCACTGAAGACGTGGAGGAACCCATTAAAGAGCCATCTGTCGAGGAGCTGGAGAAACAGATACTTGACGATGTTCTACCCGACAAGGCTTCTCTGGTCGGGGAACCGAAAGTGGAAACGATTGAGGAGAAATCAGTTGACGATCAAGGAAAGACAGTCATTCTGAAGCGATCTCTTGTCACCATCTATCAGAATGTTCCTGCTGAAAACGGCAAAACCACCGTGGTTCGCAGGATATTGAAAAAGGTTCGCAAAGTCTCCGAAGTGGACGGAAAACCGGTTGTCGAAGAGTATGAAGAGCCTCAAGAGGCGGAGACCTTGATGGAAAGTATGCCTGAGGCAACGGAGGCTTCAGTGATTGAAGAATGCCTTCCAGTGTCCAAGGGAACCATAGTTGGGGAACCAAAGGTGGAAACTGTCGTTGAAGAAAAGTTGGATGAACAGGGTCGGCCAGTCAAATTCAAAAGGATCTATGTCACCATTATTGAGGAACTTGTGGATGACACCGGAGCCAAACAGACCGTCAAGCGGGTGGTTAAAAAGACGCAGAAGCTGTCTGAAGTCAATGGGAAGACCGTCACTGAAGACGTGGAGGAACCTGTTGAAGAGCCATCTGTTGAGGAGCTCGAGAAGCAGATACTTGACGATGTGCTGCCAGACAAGGCTTCTCTGGTCGGGGAACCGAAAGTGGAAACGATTGAGGAGAAATCAGTTAGCGATCATGGAAAGCCAGTCATTGTGAAGCGATCTGTTGTCACCATCTATGAGAATGTTCCTGCTGAAAACGGCAAAACTGCAGTAGTTCGGAAGATATTGAAAAAGGTTCGCAAAGTCTCCGAAGTGGACGGAAAACCAGTTGTCGAAGAGTATGAAGAGCCTCAAGAGACGGAGACCTTGATGGAAAGTATGCCTGAGGCAACGGAGGCTTCAGTGATTGACGAATGCCTTCCAGTGTCCAAGGGAACCATTGTTGGTGAACCAAAGGTGGAAACTATCGTTGAAGAAAAGGTAGACCAAGAAGGTCGGCCAGTGAAATTCAAGAGGATCTATGTCACCATTACTGAAGAGATTGTGGATGACACCGGAGCCAAGCGGACCGTCAAGCGGGTGGTCAAAAAGACGCAGAAGCTGTCTGAAGTCAATGGGAAGAACGTCACTGAAGACGTGGAGGAACCCATTGAAGAGCCATCTGTCGAGGAGCTCGAGAAACAGATACTTGACGATGTTCTATCCGACAAGGCTTCTCTGGTCGGGGAACCGAAAGTGGAAACGATTGAGGAAAAATCAGTTGACGATCAAGGCAAGCCAGTCATTCTGAAGCGATCTCTTGTCACCATCTATGAGAATGCTCCTGCTGAAAATGGCAAAACCGCGGTGGTCCGCAGGATATTGAAAAAGGTTTGCAAAGTCTCCGAAGTGGACGGAAAACCAGTTCTTGAAGAGTATGAAGAGCCTCAAGAGACGGAGACCTTGATGGAAAGTATGCCTGAGGCAACGGAGGCTTCAGTGATTGAAGAATGTCTTCCAGTGTCCAAGGGAACCATAGTTGGGGAACCAAAAGTGGAAAGTGTCGTTGAAGAAAAGGGGGATGAACAAGGTCGGCCAGTGAAATTCAAGAGGATCTATGTCACAATTATTGAGGAAATTGTGGATGACACCGGAGCCAAGCGGACCGTTAAGCGGGTGGTCAAAAAGACGCAGAAGCTGTCTGAAGTCAATGGGAAGACCGTCACTGAAGACGTGGAGGAACCCATTGAGGAACCGTCTGTCGAGGACCTCGAGAAACAGATACTTGACGATGTTCTACCCGACAAGGCTTCTCTGGTCGGGGAACCGAAAGTGGAAACGATTGAGGAGAAATCAGTTGACGATCATGGAAAGCCAGTCATTCTGAAGCGATCTCTTGTCACCATCTATGAGAATGTTCCTGCTGAAAATGGCAAAACCACCGTGGTTCGCAGGATATTGAAAAAGGTGCGCAAAGTATCCGAAGTCGACGGAAAACCAGTTGTCGAAGAGTATGAAGAGCCTCAAGAGACGGAGACCTTGATGGAAAGTATGCCTGAGGCAACGGAGGCTTCAGTGATTGAAGAATGCCTTCCAGTGTCTAATGGAATCATAGTTGGGGAACCAAAGGTGGAAACCGTCGTTGAAGAAAAGTTGGATGAGCAAGGTCGGCCAGTGAAATTCAAGAGAATCTATGTCACCATTATTGAGGAAATTGTGGATGACACCGGAGCCAAGCGGACCGTTAAGCGGGTGGTCAAAAAGACGCAGAAGCTGTCTGAAGTCAATGGGAAGACCGTCACTGCAGACGTGGAGGAACCCATTGAGGAACCGTCTGTCGAGGAGCTCGAGAAACAGATACTTGACGATGTTCTACCCGACAAGGCTTCTCTGGTCGGGGAACCGAAAGTGGAAACGATTGAGGAGAAATCAGTTGACGATCAAGGAAAGCCAGTCATTCTGAAGCGATCTCTTGTCACCATCTATCAGAATGTTCCTGCTGAAAATGGCAAAACCGCGGTGGTCCGCAGGATATTGAAAAAGGTTCGCAAAGTCTCCGAAGTGGACGGAAAACCAGTTGTGGAAGAGTATGAAGAGCCTCAAGAGACGGAGACCTTGATGGAAAGTATGCCTGAGGCAACGGAGGCTTCAGTGATTGAAGAATGCCTTCCAGTGTCCAAGGGAACCATAGTTGGGGAACCAAAGGTGGAAACTGTCGTTGAAGAAAAGGTGGATGAGCAAGGTCGGCCAGTGAAATTCAAGAGGATCTATGTCACCATTATTGAAGAAATTGTGGATGACACCGGAGTCAAGCGGACCGTTAAGCGGGTGGTCAAAAAGACGCAGAAGCTGTCTGAAGTCAATGGGACGACCGTCACTGAAGACGTGGAGGAACCCATTGAAGAGCCATCTGTCGAGGAGCTCGAGAAACAGATACTTGACGATGTTCTACCCGACAAGGGTTCTCTGGTCGGAGAACCGAAAGTGGAAACGATTGAGGAGAAATCAGTTGACGATCATGGAAAGCCAGTCATTGTGAAGCGATCTATTGTCACCATCTATGAGAATGTTCCTGCTGAAAACGGCAAAACTGTAGTAGTTCGGAAGATATTGAAAAAGGTTCGCAAAGTCTCCGAAGTGGACGGAAAACCAGTTGTCGAAGAGTATGAAGAGCCTCAAGAGACGGAGACCTTGATGGAAAGTATGCCTGAGTCAACGGAGGCTTCAGTGATTGAAGAATGCCTTCCGGTGTCCAAGGGAACCATTGTTGGTGAACCAAAGGTGGAAACTATCGTTGAAGAGCAGGTAGATCAAGAAGGTCGGCCAGTGAAATTAAAAAAGATCTATGTCACCATTACTGAAGAGATTGTGGATGACACTGGAGCCAAGCGAACCGTCAAGCGGGTGGTCAAAAAGACGCAGAAGCTGTCTGAAGTCAATGGGAAGAACGTCACTGAAGACGTGGAGGAACCCATTGAGGAACCGTCTGTCGAGGACCTCGAGAAACAGATACTTGACGATGTTCTACCCGACAAGGCTTCTCTGGTCGGGGAACCGAAAGTGGAAACGATTGAGGAAAAATCAGTTGACGATCAAGGAAAGCCAGTCATTCTGAAGCGATCTCTTGTCACCATCTATGAGAATGTTCCTGCTGAAAATGGCAAAACCACCGTGGTTCGCAGGATATTGAAAAAGGTTCGCAAAGTATCCGAAGTCGACGGAAAACCAGTTGTCGAAGAGTATGAAGAGCCTCAAGAGACGGAGACCTTGATGGAAAGTATGCCTGAGGCAACGGAGGCTTCAGTGATTGAAGAATGCCTTCCAGTGTCTAATGGAATCATAGTTGGGGAACCAAAGGTGGAAACTGTCGTTGAAGAAAAGTTGGATGAGCAAGGTCGGCCAGTGAAATTCAAGAGAATCTATGTCACCATTATTGAGGAAATTGTGGATGACACCGGAGCCAAGCGGACCGTTAAGCGGGTGGTCAAAAAGACGCAGAAGCTGTCTGAGGTCAATGGGAAGACCGTCACTGAAGACGTGGAGGAACCCATTGAGGAACCGTCTGTCGAGGAGCTGGAGAAACAGATACTTGACGATGTTCTACCCGACAAGGCTTCTCTGGTCGGGGAACCGAAAGTGGAAACGATTGAGGAGAAATCAGATGATCAAGGAAAGCCAGTCATTCTGAAGCGATCTCTTGTCACCATCTATCAGAATGTTCCTGCTGAAAATGGCAAAACCGCGGTGGTCCGCAGGATATTGAAAAAGGTTCGCAAAGTCTCCGAAGTCGACGGAAAACCAGTTGTCGAAGAGTATGAAGAGCCTCAAGAGACGGAGACCTTGATGGAAAGTATGCCTGAGGCAACGGAGGCTTCAGTGATTGAAGAATGCCTTCCAGTGTCTAATGGAATCATAGTTGGGGAACCAAAGGTGGAAACTGTCGTTGAAGAAAAGGTGGATGAGCAAGGTCGGCCAGTGAAATTCAAGAGGATCTATGTCACCATTATTGAAGAAATTGTGGATGACACCGGAGTCAAGCGGACCGTAAAGCGGGTGGTCAAAAAGACGCAGAAGCTGTCTGAAGTCAATGGGACGACCGTCACTGAAGACGTGGAGGAACCCATTGAAGAGCCATCTGTCGAGGAGCTCGAGAAACAGATACTTGACGATGTTCTACCCGACAAGGGTTCTCTGGTCGGAGAACCGAAAGTGGAAACAATTGAGGAGAAATCAGTTGACGATCATGGAAAGCCAGTCATTGTGAAGCGATCTATTGTCACCATCTATGAGAATGTTCCTGCTGAAAACGGCAAAACTGTAGTAGTTCGGAAGATATTGAAAAAGGTTCGCAAAGTCTCCGAAGTGGACGGAAAACCAGTTGTCGAAGAGTATGAAGAGCCTCAAGAGACGGAGACCTTGATGGAAAGTATGCCTGAGGCAACGGAGGCTTCAGTGATTGAAGAATGCCTTCCGGTGTCCAAGGGAACCATTGTTGGTGAACCAAAGGTGGAAACTATCGTTGAAGAGCAGGTAGATCAAGAAGGTCGGCCAGTGAAATTAAAAAAGATCTATGTCACCATTACTGAAGAGATTGTGGATGACACTGGAGTCAAGCGAACCGTCAAGCGGGTGGTCAAAAAGACGCAGAAGCTGTCTGAAGTCAATGGGAAGAACGTCACTGAAGACGTGGAAGAACCCATTGAGGAACCGTCTGTCGAGGAGCTCGAGAAACAGATACTTGACGATGTTCTACCCGACAAGGCTTCTCTGGTCGGGGAACCGAAAGTGGAAACGATTGAGGAAAAATCAGTTGACGATCAAGGCAAGCCAGTCATTCTGAAGCGATCTCTTGTCACCATCTATGAGAATGCTCCTGCTGAAAATGGCAAAACCACCGTGGTTCGCAGGATATTGAAAAAGGTTCGCAAAGTCTCCGAAGTCGACGGAAAACCAGTTCTAGAAGAGTATGAAGAGCCTCAAGAAACGGAGACCTTGATGGAAAGTATGCCTGAGGCAACGGAGGCTTCAGTGATTGAAGAATGCCTTCCAGTGTCCAAGGGAATCATAGTTGGGGAACCAAAGGTGGAAACTGTCGTTGAAGAAAAGTTGGATGAGCAAGGTCGGCCAGTGAAATTCAAGAGGATCTATGTCACCATTATTGAGGAAATTGTGGATGACACCGGAGCCAAGCGAACCGTTAAGCGGGTGGTCAAAAAGACGCAGAAGCTGTCTGAAGTCAATGGGAAGACCGTCACTGAAGACGTGGAGGAACCCATTGAGGAACCGTCTGTCGAGGAGCTGGAGAAACAGATACTTGACGATGTTCTACCCGACAAGGCTTCTCTGGTCGGGGAACCGAAAGTGGAAACGATTGAGGAGAAATCAGATGATCAAGGAAAGCCAGTCATTCTGAAGCGATCTCTTGTCACCATCTACCAGAATGTTCCTGCTGAAAATGGCAAAACCGCGGTGGTCCGCAGGATATTGAAAAAGGTTTGCAAAGTCTCCGAAGTCGACGGAAAACCAGTTGTGGAAGAGTATGAAGAGCCTCAAGAGACGGAAACCTTGATGGAAAGTATGCCTGAGGCAACGGAGGCTTCAGTGATTGAAGAATGCCTTCCAGTGTTCAAGGGAATCATAGTTGGGGAACCAAAGGTGGAAACTGTCGTTGAAGAAAAGGTGGATGAGCAAGGTCGGCCAGTGAAATTCAAGAGGATCTATGTCACCATTATTGAAGAAATTGTGGATGACACCGGAGTCAAGCGGACCGTCAAGCGGTTGGTCAAAAAGACGCAGAAGCTGTCTGAAGTCAATGGGAAGACCGTCACTGAAGACGTGGAGGAACCCATTGAAGAGCCATCTGTCCAGGAGCTCGAGAAACAGATACTTGACGATGTTCTAGCCGACAAGGGTTCTCTGGTCGGAGAACCGAAAGTGGAAACGATTGAGGAGAAATCAGTTGACGATCAAGGAAAGTCAGTCATTCTGAAGCGATCTCTTGTCACCATTTATCAGAATGTTCCTGCTGAAAACGGCAAAACCACCGTGGTTCGCAGGATATTGAAAAAGGTTCGCAAAGTCTCCGAAGTGGACGGAAAACCAGTTGTCGAAGAGTATGAAGAGCCTCAAGAGACGGAGACCTTGATGGAAAGTATGCCTGAGGCAACGGAGGCTTCAGTGATTGAAGAATGCCTTCCAGTGTCCAAGGGAATCATAGTTGGGGAACCAAAGGTGGAAACTGTCGTTGAAGAAAAGTTGGATGAGCAAGGTCGGCCAGTGAAATTCAAGAGGATCCATGTCACCATTATTGAGGAAATTGTGGATGACACCGGAGCCAAGCGAACCGTTAAGCGGGTGGTCAAGAAGACGCAGAAGCTGTCTGAAATCAATGGGAAGACCGTCACTGAAGACGTGGAGGAACCCATTGAGGAACCGTCTGTCGAGGAGCTCGAGAAACAGATACTTGACGATGTTCTACCCGATAAGGCTTCTCTGGTCGGGGAACCGAAAGTGGAAACGATTGAGGAGAAATCAGTTGACGATCAAGGAAAGCCAGTCATTCTGAAGCGATCTCTTGTCACCATCTATCAGAATGTTCCTGCTGAAAATGGCAAATCCGCCGTGGTCCGCAGGATATTGAAAAAGGTTCGCAAAGTCTCCGAAGTCGACGGAAAACCAGTTGTCGAAGAGTATGAAGAGCCTCAAGAGACGGAGACCTTGATGGAAAGCATGCCTGAGGCAACGGAGGCTTCAGTGATTGAAGAATGCCTTCCAGTGTCCAAGGGAATCATAGTTGGGGAACCAAAGGTGGAAACTGTCGTTGAAGAAAAGGTGGATGAGCAAGGTCGGCCAGTGAAATTCAAGAGGATCTATGTCACCATTATTGAGGAAATTGTGGATGACACCGGAGTTAAGCGGACCGTTAAGCGGGTGGTCAAAAAGACGCAGAAGCTGTCTAAAGTCAATGGGAAGACCGTCACTGAAGACGTGGAGGAACCCATTGAGGAACCGTCTGTCGAGGAGCTGGAGAAACAGATACTTGACGATGTTCTACCCGACAAGGCTTCTCTGGTCGGGGAACCGAAAGTGGAAACGATTGAGGAGAAATCAGATGATCAAGGAAAGCCAGTCATTCTGAAGCGATCTCTTGTCACCATCTACCAGAATGTTCCTGCTGAAAATGGCAAAACCGCCGTGGTCCGCAGGATATTGAAAAAGGTTCGCAAAGTCTCCGAAGTCGACGGAAAACCAGTTGTGGAAGAGTATGAAGAGCCTCAAGAGACGGAAACCTTGATGGAAAGTATGCCTGAGGCAACGGAGGCTTCAGTGATTGAAGAATGCCTTCCAGTGTTCAAGGGAATCATAGTTGGGGAACCAAAGGTGGAAACTGTCGTTGAAGAAAAGGTGGATGAGCAAGGTCGGCCAGTGAAATTCAAGAGGATCTATGTCACCATTATTGAAGAAATTGTGGATGACACCGGAGTCAAGCGGACCGTCAAGCGGTTGGTCAAAAAGACGCAGAAGCTGTCTGAAGTCAATGGGAAGACCGTCACTGAAGACGTGGAGGAACCCATTGAAGAGCCATCTGTCCAGGAGCTCGAGAAACAGATACTTGACGATGTTCTAGCCGACAAGGGTTCTCTGGTCGGAGAACCGAAAGTGGAAACGATTGAGGAGAAATCAGTTGACGATCAAGGAAAGTCAGTCATTCTGAAGCGATCTCTTGTCACCATTTATCAGAATGTTCCTGCTGAAAACGGCAAAACCACCGTGGTTCGCAGGATATTGAAAAAGGTTCGCAAAGTCTCCGAAGTGGACGGAAAACCAGTTGTCGAAGAGTATGAAGAGCCTCAAGAGACGGAGACCTTGATGGAAAGCATGCGTGAGGCAACGGAGGCTTCAGTGATTGAAGAATGCCTTCCAGTGTCCAAGGGAATCATAGTTGGGGAACCAAAGGTGGAAACTGTCGTTGAAGAAAAGGTGGATGAGCAAGGTCGGCCAGTGAAATTCAAGAGGATCTATGTCACCATTATTGAGGAAATTGTGGATGACACCGGAGTTAAGCGGACCGTTAAGCGGGTGGTCAAAAAGACGCAGAAGCTGTCTAAAGTCAATGGGAAGACCGTCACTGAAGACGTGGAGGAACCCATTGAAGAGCCATCTGTCGAGGAGCTCGAGAAACAGATACTTGACGATGTTCTACCCGACAAGGGTTCTCTGGTCGGAGAACCGAAAGTGGAAACGATTGAGGAGAAATCAGTTGACGATCAAGGAAAGCCAGTCATTCTGAAGCGATCTCTTGTCACCATTTATCAGAATGTTCCTGCTGAAAACGGCAAAACCACCGTGGTTCGCCGGATATTGAAAAAGGTTCGCAAAGTCTCCGAAGTCGACGGAAAACCAGTTGTCGAAGAGTATGAAGAGCCTCAAGAGACGGAGATCTTGATGGAAAGTATGCCTGAGGCAACGGAGGCTTCAATGATTGAAGAATGCCTTCCAGTGTCCAAGGGAGCCATAGTTGGGGAACCAAAGGTGGAAACTGTCGTTGAAGAAAAGGTGGATGAACAAGGTCGGCCAGTGAAATTCAGGAGGTTCTATGTCACCATTATTGAGGAAATTGTGGAGGACACCGGAGCCAAGCGGACCGTCAAGCGCGTGGTCAAAAAGACGCAGAAGCTGTCTGAAGTCAATGGGAAGACCGTCACTGAAGACGTAGAGGAACCCATTGAGGAGTCTTCTGTCGAAGATCTAGAGAAGAGAATCCTGCATGATTTACTGGAAGAGAAAGATTTCCTAGTCAACGAGTCGTGTACTCAGTTTGTAGATAATCGTTCTGAAGAAAGTGTAACAGTTGCACTGGAACAGCCGGTTGTGCAGACTCAATTTTGCGAGCTCTTTGAAAATGGAGGTCCAGTCTCAATGCACACTTTCACCATTACCGTCCCATTAGAGACTCTTGACCCCTCAGAAGGCAGACGGATCACGAAGAAGACTTACCGACGTTACCACAGAGTCTTCAGATTGGATGACAAGTCGGTAACTGAGGAATATGGTGATCCGCCTGAAGTAGAGCTGGTTGCTCAGTCTGTTCCCGAGGTTGACGAGCCACAAGTGGTGGCTGAATCCCTTTCACTTGTATCTGGCTGTCTGGTGGGAGACCCTAAGACACAAACCGACGTGGAAGAGACCACTGACAGTGGAGGAAATCCCTTAACGTTTAAAACTGTCCGTGTCTCGCTACTCGAGGAAGTGACCGATCCTGCCGGTGACAAACATCTGGTAAGCAAGCACGTTAAGAGGTCGCAGACTGTTCGCCATGTGCTCGGACGTCCTGTGGTGACGGACGTGCTGCTGCCCGAGCCGTTGCCATCCGCTGAAGAGGTCCTTGCCTCTTGGAAGCTGCCGGTTTGCGGAAGACTCTTGACGGAGCCAAAGGTAGAAGTAGTCATCGAAGATTGTCAGGACAGCGACGGCCGGCCTGTCTCTGTACGACGGTACGTGGTAACCGTTCTCGAGGAGGTCGTAGAGCCGTCTGGTAATGCCACTACCATGCAGAAGACGTTTACAAAGATCATCCGCGCGCACGAGGTGGGCGGTAAACTGGTGACTGAGGAGTGGACTCAGCCGGAGACGAGTCAGGTGTTGTCCATGTCGCGACCCGAGGTGCCGACCAGCTGGCAGGACGACCTGAGCGCCGTGCTATCTGAGGTCTCTGGCGACGTCCTCGAGAAGCCTGAGGCGACTTCTACCATGGAAGATTCTACGGATGAGCGCGGCTTGCCGTGCCGCATCCGTCGGACGGTGGTGACTCTCTTTGTACGCCGTCCGGACTCTGACATTGTCGAGCGTCGCGTTGTCACCCGTGTGACGCGCTTCATTTTCGTGGACGGCGCGCTGGTGACGGAGCTACTGCCCGAGGTGGACCTGGTGCAACCCGTCGGCGCCGCTGTCGACACCGAGCCGGACGACGAGGCCTATGTGGCGCGCGTGGCGCACTTGATGAGAGGCAAACCCAAGTCGCAGCCCGATGTGCTGCACGAGGTGACTGAGGAGACGGACGCCGCCGGCCGCCTGGTGACCGTGCGCCGCGTGCTGGTCACACTACTGGAGGAGGTGCGCCGCTCGGGCCGGAAGACCACACACCGTCGGGAGGTACCCATCACCCGGCGCACCTGCCGTGTCGGCGCCACCACCGTGCTGCTAGAGGAGGCGCTCGGAGAACCCCGCGACACCACTGTCGAGAGGGCCGAGAAGGCAGAGAGGAGCGCCACGACCGCCGCCGCGCCGGTGCCGTCGGCGCCGCCAGCCGAGCAGCAGCCCGTCAGAAAACCGGACCTGGACGACCTGGTCTCTCAGATGACATCCACTGTGTTGGGAGAGGAGCCGACACCGGAGATTACCCCGCAGCCCACGCCGGAGCCCGTCAGGGAGCCGACACCGGAGCCGGCTAGGCAACCGAAGCCAGTGCAGGAGCCGCGTCCGAAGCCGGCGCCGGTCGTGATGTCGTTTGCGCCGACGCCCGTGGCCGTTAGCTCCGAGCCAAGTGACAAGGAGTCTTACGCCAGTGTGGTGAAGCACCACCTGGACGAGGCGCCGGTGCAGCGGACCGCGGCCGGGACCGTGTACGCCGAGCCGCCGGGAGTTACCGAGGAGGAGCCGGACACGGTGGACGGCGGCGCGGCGACCGACGAGCCGCCGCTCTTGGAGGAGGCGCTGAACGTGCCGCTGCTTCCTGAGGACCAGCCGCTGCCGGTGCTGGCGCAGGCGTTGGCCGCGCTGGGGCGGCCGGAGCGCGCTGTCTCGCTGACCGCTCTGCCAGGCAGTCAGACAGCGCGGGTGGGCGCCGCCGAACTGCGAGCGGCCGCCGCACCGCCGCTGGCCGCGGCGCCCACCGCCCGCTGGCCGGAGCTGCTGCCTCTCTGGGAGACGACTCTGCTGTACATCGTGGGACGGGTGGACGAGGCGCTGTCGTCCTCCGCGCTGCCCGAGCCGCAGCTGAGCGCACAGGCAGAGGAGATGGCTGCCGCCGAGGAGACGCTGCTCCAGCTGCAGCAGCGGCTGCCGCGGCTCGCCCAGATGCAGGATCAGGAGCGGCGCTCTGTGGCCGCGCTCCTGGACGGTCTGATTGCCGCAGCTCGTGAGGCGCGCCGGCGTGTACCGCTGCGTCGCCGAGTGGCCGACCACTCTCTGACTCCGGACGACCAGCCGGCCGCCGCCGACCTGCCCCTGGAGTCTGTACAGCGCTGGCTGAGAGAGGCCGCCTCGGCCGGCCCCTCCGAGCGCAGCGAGCTCTCGACTGAGGCCGAGAGTCAACTGCACGGACCGGCCGGGCCGCTGTGGAAACAGGTGCTGACGGGCCGCGCCGAGGCCGGCGGGGCCGAGGGAGCACTCATCCTGCAGTTCCCGACCGTGATGTCGCTGCTGGAGCAGCCAGCGGCGCCTGTGCCGGCCGACCCACCGGCTCTGCACCGCCTGTCGGCCCAGCTGGCCGCGCTGCCCGGTCCCGAGCACAGTCCGCTACCGGCCGACTCCCTACCGGACCTGCGCGCGCTCAGCCAGCTGTGGCGCCGCCTGGTGGCGCTGCTACACCGCCAGCTGCCGGCTGGTGACCCGCAGCTGCACGTGCGCCAGCTGCAGCTGAGTCAGCTGAGCGCGGCGCGCGCCCTCTGGGAGGTGCTGGACGCTGAGCTGGCGCAGCTGGACGAGTGGCGGGAGCAGTGTGACGCCGAGCTGACCCGACTGCTGGGTGACACGAGCACCGACGACACCCAGCTCGTACCCAGACTGGAGGTGAGCGCTCGGCCGGGAATGAAAGGGAAACTGAACTGGGAAGTGAGGTCGTGCAATATCTAGTGATAGAAGTATTTAATCCAAAGTCTGTCATGTAACTTGAACCGAGACATTTTTCTTCTTAAAAGATGGAAATCCCGCTTCTATTTAATCCGTTTTTTAGTCATTAAGCCATTGTTAGTTCGTGGACTGCGGTGGAAAGATGGTGTGTCTCACCATGTTCGGTGTCTCCTTTACCGCCTAGCTATGTCCCTCCGCCGCTGCATCACTCACCTCCCCACCCCTCTGCCCAGGAGCTGTGCAGCGGCGCCGCGGAGCGGTTCTGCCGGCTGCGCCACCTGCGGCCGCTGCTGGCGCGGCTGCAGCGCCTGGTGACGGCGCGCAGCTGCCGGCTGCAGCTGACCAGCCAGGAGGCGCAGCTGGACCGGCTGCGCGCCCGGCTGGAGACGAGCGCCGGCCGCGCGCTGGCGCTCCAGCTGCGCATGCTGACCGTGCGAGAGAACAGCGCCCGTGTGGAGGAGTGGGTGCGCAGAGTCAGGAAGGCCGTACCGGACGAGGGAGAGGAGCCCACCGAGGAGCAGCTGGCCGAGCAGGAGGTACGCCGGCGGACAGGGGGAGGGAGAAAGGGGAGAGCGGGGATGGTTCGGAAGGGGGAAGGATGGATGGAATGGAGCACTATGCTTTCGGATGATAATTACTTCGTTATTGCTTGCTACTATACCCAGTGGTAGTATTGTGCCTAATGCTGATCAGCACAATTACAAATTTCGCCCTGATATCTGTTTTTATTGAGAAAACATATAGTGCTAATTGCTAAATATAAGATAACTGCATACCCGGGCCCGGCACACCCTTTGCAACTCTGACGTTCCTGTAAATATGTTGGTGTGAAGTTGCGGCCGTCTGTGCGAACTTGTGTGTCCGGTGAATGACGGCCGGTGGATTTTTGCGTCGGCAGGAGCTGCGCGCTCAGCTGGAGACGATGGAGCACTTGGGCGCCGCCGCTGTCGACGAGCTGGACGCGGCTCTGGCGACGCTCACCGTCACCGACGAGGAGCTGCAGCGCTCGCTGCTGGCGCAGACCGGCCGCTGGCTGGCGGAGCAGGCGGCTCGGCTGCGCGCCGCCGACCGCGCCGCCGAGCTCGGCTGGCTGGAGCGGCGCACCACAGCCACCCTGGCGGCCGCCGACCGGGCCGACGAGCTGGCGCCCGTGCTGGCCGCCATGGAGACTGTACGCGACCAGCTATCCGACTGGGAGCGGCGGGCGGCGCGTGCCGAGCCGGCGGCAGACGACGGAGACGACCCGGCCGACAGCGCCGCCCGGCTGGAGGCGGCGCGCCGCGTCAGCCGCGCCGCGCTGCTCGGCCGCCGGCTGGGCGTGCGGCTGGCGGCGCTGCGACCGGTGGCCGATCAGCTGGCCGCCGTCCGAGCCGCCGAGATGGAGCTCTACCGGCGACTAATGCTGCTCGAGCTGCTGGCCAAGGCCGGCTCGGTACCGCGCTCAGCTCACGTGCCGCAGCTGCAGGCTGAGGTGGGCGCGCTGCACCGGCTTGTCGCCGCGCTGAAGAAGAAACACCCACACTGCCACGCCGCTCAGGTAACGGTCGACTCTGGGACTCGCTTAAGCATTGCGGTAGGATGGCTGCTCTGCCTTTGTACGAGCGGTTATATTCTCAATTAGGGTAAGGGCGGGTAAGAGTACGCGGGCGATAAGAGTACGCATCAGCTGTTCCGGTTGCTTAGCAACGCGGGTTTGTCGAGTTCATGAAGTGACATGAAGCCGCCAGTGCGTGCTTGTCACCAACGGAACGTGGGCGTTGAGCGGCGACGCTGTTGAGTTTAAGGCGATGAATACTATTTTCGAGCGTTATGATATTATTATGGTATGGTACAATAATTTTGATACTTGGCAGTTGAGATAAGGTACATTTCCATGATTGTTGTGGGAAACTTGTTAGGTTAACTGGGGAAATACTGTGCAGTGCAATATTCTGTTTGCGAAGTTTTGCACAACGTTTCGGGGTTGTTTTGTGCGCGAATTGCATGTACGGTAAGAGGACGCACTGTTCAGGAGGGTAAGAGTACGCATAATTATACATTAAATCGAATATACAGAAATATAAAATTATTAATCTATCGCTCAATGACGTTTGTTTTGTAGGTATATCATCAATGGAGCACTGCGATGCAGATGCGTACCAGAAATTCTTCCAAATACGAGTTATTCTTCCTTTTGATTGTGCATTTTTTTAAGAAACACACGACATGATTATTTCCTGATTTATAGACTTGAAAGATTTATTTTATGTTTTTCTTTTTGGATACTAGAATTAACTTAAATGCCTTCTGAGTTTGAAGTTAAGCATTTGGACAATACAAGCTGCATAGGTGTGTGTTCATATGCTTGCGTACTCCACCCGCCTGGCGTGCGTACTCTTACACACCCCATATGGTAAGAGTACGCAACTGCAGCAGTTCAGAAAATGTCAGTTTTAGACCACTTCCATTTACGCTGAAGGATCGTTGCCCCATGGGTTGATGGCTAATTCAATGACCTTTAATATTCCCTATTTGCGATTTCTTTCTTTCAAATATGAAACAAATGAGAGCAAGAAATCCACTAAGTGCGTACTCTTATACGACTTCACCCTATTCATTCTTTTGGCTTGTTTATGAGTAGCGTAGCGTACGGCATTTTGATAAAACCGTCGCTCATTTTCCTGTGTACCGATATGCTATGCTTATAACCAATAGTTATCCTTCCCCGAAAGCAGCCCAATTACCGCTCATTCTCCTTTGTGACCCCCTCCTCCCTCCCCTCCCCCGCCAGGTGACAGAGACGGAGATTGTGCAGCTGATGGCGCGGCTGCGCTCCCTCAAAGAGGAGCACCCGCTCGATCTGGAGCCGGTCGACCCCGAACTGATGGCTGCTGTAGATCAGCTGACCGCCCTGGTGGCCGAACTGGAGGCTCTCAGGGCGCAGGCTCTACCCCGACCGGACGCAACTACCATTGACGAACTGGAGACCAAGGCGGCCGCCATACAGGTGAACACGCTGAACTACCGTCTCGGCGGAATCGGCGGATAGATAGTTACTCGTGCGTTTGATTTGTCTTTGGTTGAAAGTTGATCATGCTGCTTCTAATATTTTTTTAATAACTCAATATGGAATATATTTTAATTTTTATATTTCCCAACATTGCCTGCTGATCGTCACCATCAGCTTCTAGTTTGTTCGTCACAACATTAATGCTATTTTCCTTCTCGTCTGTTACATTCCCCGGCTGACCGGTTGATTTCTCTGTCGGACAGCTGGCGCACCAGCAGCTGATTGCGGCGCCGGCAGAGGACGCCGAGACCCCTCCCGAGGGTACGCCGGCGGCCGGCCTGGCGGCGCGCGGCCAGCGGCAGAGGGAGGAGGCGGCAGAGGCGGTGGCCGAGGCGGCCGACCAGTGCCGCGCCGCCGCGCTGCTCTGGCAGCGGCTGCTGGTGCAGCTGCAGGCCGCCCTCAGCTGGCTGCAGGCCGCCGAGCCGACCGCCGACCAGCGGCCCTCGCCCTTCACCGAGCAGCTGCCGCAGCTGCGACACACGCTGGGCGGCTGCCGGCAGCTGCTCGACCAGCTGGCGGCCGGCGGCCAGGCGGCGCCGCCGGCGCTCTCCCAGCTATCAGCGCAGCTGGCGGAGGCGGCCGGACGGCTGGACGCGGTCGCCGCCCGGCTGACAGTGACCCCGGAGCAGACGGCGGCGGCGGCGCGCGACTCGCGTCTGCTGGACGGTGTCCGTCTGCAGCTGCGCCAGCTGACTGACAGCCGGCGGCTGCCGCTGCCGCTGCTGGCCGAGCAGCTGGCGGCGGCTGTGGAAGTGGCCCAGCAGCTGCGCCAGCTCAGCGTGACAGCTGCCACCGCGGAGCTGCGGGCTGATGCCGCTGCGCTGCTCATGGTGAGCTCCGCAGGGACAGGGACTGCAGAGGGCGCTATTGTAGAGTATGGGTGAGGTGGCGGCTGTTTTGCATTTCATAGTTTGGGTGCAGCTATATTTTGTTTGCTTCTTAGATCTGGTGTCTAATCTACTTGTTTAAAAGGTGTGTGAGGAATCTCAACCTTCTATGTATTTTGTGTGAATTTACCGGAAAATATAGGCACAGAACAGGAATATTTCGCCTGTCCCGTCTATGTCACCCCAGTTGTTCACTCTGACGCTTCCTGACACCGCCCTGCCTCCCTCTCCGTCCCCGGCAGGACTGGGAGTCGGCACGCGTCTCACTGTTACTGGCCCGCTACGACGACCAGCTGACCGCGGTGGTTGCCGAGGACACACCGGCCGCAGAGGCCGTCCATGAAGCTGTGTTTGACCAACTGATGAGGCCGGCACCCACCGAGGTGTATGCGGAACGACCGGAGCTGACGGCAGAGGCCGCCAGGGTGCAGGTGGGTAGGGCCGAACGGGATAAATGCGACGTGTCAGTCCGATCTACAAATGTGGATTGTGGAAGGCAGTGGTTAGCTTTTATTTCAATCATTGTATTGATACAAGTTGAGGGCAATATGCTGGTGAACAATAGCACAAAGTTTTCTTCTTCATTTAGATGCGTGCTGATTTCGATTGCATTACAAGGATACATAGTCATCATTGGTTATATTACATGACTAGTCGTCATTATCGGTCATAGCTAGTAGCTACCACTGTTGTCTTAAAATGTCCTGTTCTGCTGACTGATCGACATCCTGACCCACCCTGTGCTCTCCGCGGTGTTGTCAGACGGCCGACCGTCTGCTGGGCCTGCACCGGGACCGTCTGGCCGCCGGACTAACCACCGAGGAGCCGGCCGGGCCGCGCGCCGCCGCGCTGGGCCGGCAGCTGGCGCTCGTGCTGCGCCTGCTGGCCCGGCTGCGCGGCCGGCACGCGCTGCTAGCCGGCACGCTGCACGGCCGCGCGCTCACCTGGCTGCGCTGCCTGGAAACGGAGCTGCTGCGGCTGCGGCGGCGGCCGCTGGCTGCTGGCCAGCTGTCGGCGCTCCGCCGGCAGCTGGCGGCTCTGGAGCGGCAGCTGCTGCGCGGCGAGCAGCTGCTGGCCGCGCTGCGCCACGCCGCGGGACCAGCCGCCGCTGACACCTGGTGCGCGCCGCTGGAGAGCCGTCTGGCCGAGCTGGCGGCCGACCTGGGAGCCTGGAGCGCCTACGTGTCGTACGTGTCGGCCGGCTGGCGGCGGCAGCAGCAGGCGGCTGCGGAGGCAGCTGCCGGGCTGCAGCGGCTGGAGCGGCTGCCGGCCGGAGGAGCCGCCGCTGAGGAGGAGACGGCCGCGCTCGCCGCTCTGGAGGGCCATCTGGACGAGGCGGACCGGCAGCGGGCGGCTCTGAACGGCGCGCTGACGCCGGAGGACGAGCGCACGGCGGCCGCCGCGGCCGGCCAGCTGCGCGCGCGCCTGCTGCTGCTGAGACTGCTGATGGGCGTCTCCGGGCAGACGGAGGCTGACAAAGACACGACGCGCAAACTAGCGAGGACCAAGTGAGTGGATGGGGGAAAATCAAATGCTGGGAGGGAAGGGCTGGCCTGTCAGGCAAACACGTAGACCTAGAATCAGTCCGAAGTCCGTTTTTATCGTACTTGGTAAGCGCTTATGAAAATTGAATGTGATCGAAGAACCTGTCTCTTGGCGTATTGCGTGCTATATAATTCATTACATGCAAGTGAATCGTTGTCATGATGTCTATCTCTTGCTAGCATGTATCTTCTTTCGCATCCCCATCCCCCCGCTCACGACCGCCGACCCTGTTCGCAGTGAGGAGCTGCACTCCGACTGGCTGGAGCGTAAGTCGGCGGCGGTGCGCGGCCAGGGCCAGACGTCGCTCTGCACGCTGCTGACGTACCTACAAAACGAGCTGCCTGCCCAGCTGCTCACCGCGAGCGGAGACTGCGACCAGCTGGAGCGGGAGAGGGCCGCGCGGCTCGACAAGATCAACTCCCTGCTCGAGGTCCGTGATTGGAGGGGAGGGAGGCAGGGATTGTGTAACAGCGTTTAAAGGGAGGGCGGACTGAGAGGACAGAATCGTCGGCTGGTTCCTTGTGATGGGGTGGACAACGTCGTTTAACTTTTGATAACCATGAATTTTATTTTGAGGTTACCATGTCATCATAGTTTGTTTGATAAATGGGCAAAGTTCATTCATGGTTGCAACTTGAAGATATTTGTCGTGTAGGATTACTCAATGCCATCTTTGATTTGCGTCTCTAAAGCGCCACGTTAGCTTATTTAGTAGACTATTGGCCGTTTTGCTCTGTACGCTATTTGTTTGTTTTCTGTGTTGTCTTCGTATCACTGATTACTGTCTGTGCTGTCTGCAGACTGTGGCCGACTTTGAGCAAATGACTCCGGCTCTGGAGGCCAAACTGGCCAAAATTGAGCTGATACTGGACGAACCCGTCGAGTTCGAGACGGGAGACAAAAAGGAGCACCACGCCGCCACTAAGAAAAACGACGTGAGTTCACAATTACCCCGTTTACATGAGTCATTCAGCCTAAACGGAAATATCCGATTAGCCAGGGAACGGAAAAATGCGTTTCGGTGGCCCCGTTTACATGAGCCTTATCGGAAAAATCCGTTCCGGAACGGATAATTCCCTTTACGCCGGCAGCCCGAAAAATACGGATATTTTGCGCATTTTTACATGTCTGGCGCAGCTCCTATCAAGCATTATTTGTGCTTGTTTTAGGCTTAATTTACTTGATTCTTAAAAGTTTTGTATGTAGAATTGGAAATAATCATGGCACAAGCCATTATTTTACTTGTGTGCTGTAAAAATAGTGTGATTAACTGTCAGAAAGCAAGTAAACAATTGAGGTCTTGGACAACATTGAAGAGCACATCTATATTGAAAGTCTTTTTGGCTTCAGAAAAAGGTTAAGACAGCTCATAATAGTCATAGCTCATCATGATGGACCTCCAGTAAGTTGACAAAATGAAAATGCATGAAAGGATGTGCAGGATGGTGCCACACTTCAGAAAACATTGGTATGAAAGTGGGTGGTGCGGGATTGTGTACCTATACATTTTTGGTTGACACATTTGAAGCACTTGAATATTTCAGCATTTTATTTTCATTTTTTGCTTTTAGCTGCTCAGTTCTTCAAAGACAGGGGTCAGATCAGTACTAGGTGAATTGTGTAGTAGATGTGACCTGTGGGTGCATTGCTTGACTGTCGGGTGCAACACAGTATCCATCATTTCCAAGTGTTTAAGTCATAACAGAAATTACATCTACTCACCACCAAACTTTAAGACACAATCAGTGCAATTTTCAAAATGCATAGAATAATCCACTCTCAATCACACCAGGTAAGATGTGAAGATGAAGTCCGAGTGGTACCTATGTGATTTGGTAGGTTGGTTCACCTTGTAGATTGGTAGGAAGTGGTTTGGTATAATAGGTTGTAGGCATGTAGGTGTGTTTGTAGGATGGTAGGTTGAAAGTTAGGTTGGTAGGTAAGGTTAGGTATGATTCTACAAATTCCACAAAACTTGCCAGTTGCCTGCTTCCACCATCCGAGATTAACCAAACTTTCAGAGACCTTCCCACCACTGAAGAATCTACTTCTTTGGAACAATAAGGTGAACATTTGAATATTGCTGGGGGGGGGGGGCAGATGGCAGTAGAATGTCTGAGTAAATTTGTCTGTGTGTCTTGTGTAGGTATACTTTGGCATGCAGCCATGAGCCAAGTTTCTGTCCCAACCAGCCTGCATGCCCTGCCGTCTGGTGGCTGTTCGCTGAAGCATAAGTTATCTGAATCACTGCCAGAGGTGGAGATCTCGGGGGGTGTCGGGGGGGGGGGGGTCAGGCCCCCCCTGAAAACGAATTACTGCTATGTAAGTCAATGGTACTGCATTCCGCCCGCCTACATCTGCCCGGCCTGGACCCCCCCCCCCCCCCTTTGACAGATCTCCACCCCTGATCACTGCTAGGAAGTTTGAAGTACCAAGGTAGAGAAAATTGTTTGGGAGCATGTAGGTACTAAAGCAAAATAAATCAAGCACCATATCCAGTGTACCAAGCACTAAATGGCACTAGCATGCTGTTCCAAGTGGCTATAGGGAGCGACTGGCTGGGATGGCTATGTTGGTTGCCCTGGAATTGAACCCTGATTGTTGAATCTAAGAAATAAGGAAATTAGCCCTAAACTAGAATGCATCCCTTTTGAAGCATAGGACGTTCCTCTCAACACTTATGTAGGTACTTTATGAATCTGCCACAATGGCGCGAAATCAGGGACAAAAAGTGGATTTTTCATTGTCATTAGACCTACCATTCAAGATAAATATGTATTTTGATGTGTAAACTAAAAAATTCATCTATAAAACATGCATATTCATGTCATTTTCTGCTAGATGCGCAAAAAATCCGTTTAGGCCTGACGTCCTAAACGGATATTTCCCATTAATTCATCGGATATTTCCGTTCCGCGTAATCGTCATTTTTGCGCGCCCAAACCAGTTTACATGAGTCGAAACTTGCGCACTTTTCGCTAAACGGAAATATCCGTTCTAAACGTCATTTTCGCTGACTCATGTAAACGGGGTAAATGACAGGCGGATGTCCAATCGACGAGGGCAGAAAGGAGATACTTTGGTCTTTTAGTGTTGTTATTGTGGATTGAACTGTTTTTATTCCTTGTCGTTGCTTCATTCGCTTTGAAAGTTGTGCGAAAACACGTGCAACTTTTTGCGATTCAAGTAGTTGTTGAGTGCCCTGGTCTAGACAGCTATTGCCGCTCAGTAAGAAGTGTCTTCCTTATTCTTGGTAATGTTATTCAGACTGTTGTTCCATTTTGCTAAAGTTTTCTGGACTTTTAAACTTGCCTGAAAATACCAAGGCTCGTCACGTTAAAAAATTGTCTCAATTTTACGCTTTTATGACTTTGAACTGTGTGCTATAACATTGTTCCCGTAAAAAGAAAAATCGCTTTCAACATACCCTGCTAAATATTCTGAGTAAAATGCAAAATTGTCGGCCCATGTAATGTGTCATGTGAACGTAATACATGAGTCTGTTTCTCTATCTCAAATATACCACTCCTCCGATTAAACTGACATCCTTCTCCTCCCCTCCACGCTGCTACAGGAGATGCTGGAGCTGGTGCGGGACGTGAGTCGCAAGATGGGCGACATCTCTGGTCTTTGTGACCTGCTGATGAGCGACACTGACGGCCTGCCTGAGGCCCGGGAGGTGCGCACGGTGACCCAGGGCGGCGGTCACCTGCAGCAGAGGTCAGTATTGGTCGACGAATATAAGACTGAGCTGATAGGTGGATGACAGAGCAAGGCGCAATGTATCTAATGACGTCACTTTTTGAATCTGTTTGGCTTCATATCCTGTTATTTCTAACCACTCAACCCTTAGGGTGAAGTTTCAGTTCCTTGTATACAGTATTGTATTGATATTACGTAGGATGAACCTTTTGTTTTATCGCTATGTTAGTTTTCCCTGAAGTGTTGCTTCGATGCTGACTCCACTCACTTCACCCCTCCGTCAGGTGGGCCCGGATCTGCGAGCTGTCGGCCGGCCGGCGGCAGCGGATCGCCGACGCCTGGTCGTCGGCCGGCCAGCTGGGCCGCGAGCTGCGCGAGTTCGAGTCGCGTCTGTCTGCCGCCGAGGAGCGGCTGGCCGGCGCCGCGCCCTCGGCCGAGCTGGTGCCCCGGGACCGCGTCCGGACGGACCTGGAGACGGTCAGCCGCGCCGCTGAGGAGCTGGAGCAGCAGGCGGCGGCGGCGCGCGGCGTCAGCCGACTGCTGCGTGCCGGTCTGCGCCGCCGGCACCTGGCGGCGGACGGTGCGCTGGCCGAGGGCGCCGCCGCCGCCACCGGCCGCTGGCTGCAGCTGCGCGAGCAGGCGGCCGCCGCCGCCGAGCGGCTGAGGAAACACGCCGCCGTCCAGGAGCACACCGACAGCGACTGGGCAGAGCTGGAGAGCGGCGCCGAGCAGCTGCACGAGCGGGCGCGCCTGCTGCTGCTGGAGGCCAACGCAGGAGGACTGCTCAACGGACCGGCCAAACTCGCGGTCAGTCGCCGGCGGGCGTTTGTGGGTGGGAGGTGGGAGATTGAGTGACCACAGTACTCGTCTCGTATTTGTGTGTGTTGATTCTTAGAAGTATGATCGCTGGCTTTGCCAGTATAACAGTGCTTCACTTACATGGAAGATCGGTTGGTTAAATGTAACATTTGTTGTCACAAGTGTTGCACCGTTTTGTCACTTTAAGGTAATGACTAGCTAACCCCAGGCAACCCTCCGTGCCCCAATCTTTTCCACCTGCACCACCCCACTAACCAGCCTCCATCAACTATCCCCACAGGAGTTGACGGCGGACCGTGACACCCTAGCTGCGCGCCTCGACTCGGTCACCCGAGACACGGTCAGCCTGCTACAGACCACTGCGCCGGAGGAGGCGTCTTCGTACGACCTACGGCCGCCATCCGCCTACCACCGGCTGACTGAGGCCTTCGGCGAGCTGCACAGCGCGCTTGGAGCAGAGGGAGAAGAGGTGAGAATAGAGGCAGAGAGAAAAGGCGGGGGTAGGACGATGGGGGCTATGTGGCGGGAGGGAGGGATAGGTAGTGGCTAAATTCTGCCGTCGATAGGTGATGGAAGGGAGGGTAGTGGCAAAGAGGAAAAGGAGCAAGGGCCATTACCCAGATGTATCGCTGCATTTGTTTTCTTTGTGAATCTCGCTGTTCAACCCCCTTCAGACCGTGACGGCCTACTGACGCCTCTCTCCGCCGTTCTCAGGAGACGGACGCGGCGGCCGACCCGCTCTCCCGGGCCACTGACGAGGCCGACTCGTGTCTGTCGCGGCTGGAGGAGCTGCTGGCGGCCGAGTCGCCGGCCGTGCCGGAGCTCGCTCAGACCCTGGGCGCCTGCTCCAGCGCCGCCGATCTGGTGGGCTCTCTGAGCCACCAGCGGCCGGAGGGAGCTGAGCCGCGCGCCGCCGCCGTCCGCGAGAGGTACGAGAGGCTGCGGACGGCTGCCCACGGTCGGCTGCACGCGGCTGAGGAGGCGCCGCTACAGTGGGAGCTGGACCGCTGGAGATTGCAGCAGTGGCTTCAGCACACGGCCAACAAACTGGACAACATGCCCAGCGCAGAGAGTCTGCGGAAGGACGACGTGCAGCTCAGGAGGTTCAACGTGAGTGCGCTGGGACGGACGAGGGGCTTCTGTGACTACGGTATAGCCCATGGGATGAAAATTTGCCTAGTCTGGGTCCCGGCATATTGATGTATTTTAAGATATCCCCCATCGTGCTTTCAAAAGCTTTTATGAATGTGTTTGATGTGAGTTTTTTTTTTTACCTCAAGCCAACCTCGGCGTATGCTTCATATTTCCCTCTGATGGTATCTAAATTTGCAGATGAGATCAAACCCTACCTGACTGATCCCCATTCGCAGTGTCTGTGGCCTGTATATGTAGCTGACCTGACCTGACCTCTGTCCCATTGCAGCGTCTGTGTGTGGAGCTGGAGGCTCACACGGAGCTGTTGGCCGCCGTGGTGTCCGCCGGCCACCAGCTGCCCGAGGGCGCGGCCACGGGCGGCCGGCCGGTCCGACAGCGACTAACCGAGCTACAGACAGAGTGGGACGCCGTCTGTGGCCGCCTGGTGGCGCTCCAGTCGGAGCTGCTCTCGATCGCGCCGCCAGACGACGGAGACGCCGCCGCCGAGGTGGGTGACGAGACCGAGATAGAGGAATTGGCGAGAAGTGGGCGACCGAGGGGCTAAGGGAGGGGCCGAGGAATGGGTCTGATCTGAGGAAGGGGCTGAGAGGCTGGCAAAGGTGGTAAAGGACTGTCAGGAGTGTAATGCTGGCCAAAATGTCACTTCTTGCCATCTGGTGTTCTGATTGAGTCTCCCATCGCGTTTGTTCAGTGATGTGACAGTTCTGCAAGTGCTGTGTAAGCTGACGGCTGACCTGCCGGCCTGACCTAATCTGATGCTGGCCTACCCTGACCTGACCGAACGGCTAACCTGACCTAACGTCTGACATGACCTGACATCTTCCCTGTCCACTCCGCAGTCTGGTGACGAGGAGGCACGCCGCGGCCTGCTGGCGCGCACAGCCACTCTGATGTGGCGTGTGGCGCGGGTGGCGCTGCCCGTGCAGGCGCTGCTGCTGCTCGGCCTGGCCGTGATGGCGCTCTACGGCGACCGGGACGCCGACTGCGCCAGCGGAGCCAACAACTTCGCCGCCAGCATGCAGACCATGCTCAACTACCCGGACGGCGGGCCGCCCATGTAGGCGCCGCAGAGACAGCGTCGTTACGGCTGGAAACGCGATATACAGGATCTTTGAGATTGACTGTGAAGTCGACTGTGATGAAGGCTGATTGATTATGGCTGACGATTAATTCTCGGTTCCGCTGCGGCGGGGTCAGTGATGTACGCTTGTGATGGTAACGATATGAGTATGTATCAGGTAACCCGGTGAATTTGTGTCTTCTCGCTTCGCTTCGGGAACTGGGTGGCGGCCGCGGCCGCTGCACCCGCTGCAATGGTTTCTGTGCGGCTCTCCTTTCGTTCGGTGCCTTAACCGGTGGGCCGGCGCCTGTTCTGTTCATGGAGGGGGCGGCGAGCGGTGCGCTGCGTCAGGATGAGAGCGAGAGAGAGGGAGGTCGGCAGCCGGAGCCAGCCTGGCGCTGCCGGCCCCGTGATACCCTTCCAGTGTTCCGTCGAATATTTTCGCAAATATATGTTTGTAGTACATAACAGCGTGTTTTCTTGCTCTTGCAAATGGAGGTTACACAAAGAGACATACGAGAAATAACGAAATATGTATGTATGCATAATGAATATACCTAATGACCTAATCATTTTGTAGGTAGCTATGGGTTTGTGGTACGGTAGGCTTCGTCACGCCTAGCGTTCATGTACATGTTGACAGTCGGTGACAATGGAGTATCGGCGGCGGTAGTGTCTTTCGGTGTGATTTTTCTATTACTCTGTATGAGCGGCCAGTACCACAGGTGTTTGGGGACATTACGAAAAATGCATACGTCAGCTGTGTCATATATGAGAAACGCCGCAAATCAATGTGTTCGCCGAACACTTATGTTCCAAATTATTCGGGATGTGTAATTTTGCGTTTCACATCTTAGCTATGCCTGCCCTTGGGGCTGTGTAGTGTGTAATTGGATTCATTGGCGCGGAAGATCCGTCAGACATCTCACAGCGAGCCGTGGTTACACGACTAGCGACAGTCGGCACGGAATCGGCCGAAAAAGGCCATCGAACGATTTGATAAAAATTACACCATTGAAATCATCTCATCGTTAGCCTTCAAATGGTAAATTATTTATTATATCTTATGCATGATATGGCCATCCGTGGGCAGCAGATATTCGGATATAAAGCCTCAGGGCACGATCAGAGAGCTTGCCACCGGCGCACCAGGCGGCAGCTTGTCGCCAGGTTATGCACGTGCCGGAAACCTGTCACCAGTCTGTGGGCGCGTGCCGGGAACTCCAGCGGTGCTCATGGCTCGGTGCTCCGACAGCGCCGCGCCTGCTCACCGGGCGGAAAATGAAAACCACTCCGGCCATTAGCGGTTCGAATTGGGAGCGGCCGGCGGGGCGGCGGCGGCAGCTAGTTAGCGGTTAGCGCGCCGACTCGTTTCCGAGCCAGCGACCATCTGCTGATAAGGCTGGATAAGCGCGACACCGAACGGGAGGCGCCTGGCACCGGCTCACGTGGGGTGGGAGGGGGCACACGCTGTGCTGTCCCGGGTACCCACGCTGATGCCAACTGCAGGGAGATCCGACATCGGAACGGTTGAGCTTTGGCCGAGAAAGGAATGGAGGCATATATAAACCTAAATGTTCGGTATTCCACTATGGCATGGTGTTTCTACATAGACTGTCGTGCTTACACCGACTACACTTAACGATTATTTTATCTGCAGTTTCACGCTGATAACTAAAACTCTGTGGCCGTATTCACAATCACGGGTTAAGGGTAGTGGTAGGAGTAACGGGTAACGGGTTATTTTTGTGGCCGTATTCACAAACGAAGTTTACCTCTGATGGTTGCCCGGCGCCACCCGATGGCGGTGGTGTTTAGCGCCTGAAGGTAGACTGTACCGCATGGTCCGGAACGGCTGACTACAGCTTCGCCCGCTAGATGGCTAATGTCTGGCGCCTGAAGTTAGAATGGCCCGCAAGGTCCGGAACAACTGACTTCAGTCTCTGTCACTAGATGGCAGTGGTGTTTGAGGCCTGAAGCTAGACTGGCCCGCATGGTACGAAATGGCCGACTGCAGGCTCTCTCACTAGATGGCAGTGGTGTTTGACGGCTGAGGCTAGACTGGCCCGCATGGTACGAAATGGCCGACTGCAACCTTGCTCGCTAGATGGCAGTGGTGTTAAGCGCCTGAAGTTAGACTGTACCGCTTGGTCCGGAGCGGCTGAGTGCAGTCTTTCTCGCTAGATGGCAGTAGCTGTTGGCGCCTGAAGTTAGACTGTGCCGCATGGCCTGGAACCTTTTACCGCCACAATTGTAAGCAGCCGTGCTGTGAGACGGTAAAAGCAAAGCAGTGTGGGCAAAATTAGCATACGAAACTAGCATTGGCGCGTCTGTGGGATATTTATTTCTTGGAAGGTAGGAGCTGAAGTTCCTTTTCAGATGACCCGGGTAGGTACTATTTCTCACGTGAAAGCCTGATAATACTTAGACCTGTCTGTGTCATCTCTCATGATATTGCAATGCAAATATGTAACTCGACCAGAGCAGCATGCACATTGCACGGCATGGTTGATATATGCAAATACATTCTCAGCGGGATGTCTTGTGTCCGAGTAGGACGGCCGCCGAATGTGCAACACGTGTTTGAAAATTGAGGCACCGGATCTGGGTATGTCCCGAATATTCTCCAAGTACGTCGTGCGATGGAAACTTTTAGTGGTTCTCTCAAAATAAGCCATATCACTGAGCTCATCTTGAACTCGTACACTCTCTTACTCCGCTGTGGCGTGCATGCCCCATATCGCGCCATCTCTCAAATATCCAAGCCGCTCGCGCATGAAATTGCAGCCGCTCAGGAGAAATTGCCTTGCTCCCCTGCTAATTTGATATTGGCCATGTTTGAGGAAAGCATGGAGATTGACATCTGTGGGAATTACTGTCATTCCGGGGATCGTGTACTGAGGTACTGAAACAATTTGTTGAGCCGCCATACCAGAGATGAGGAAAGAGTTATCCGTGGTCTTGTATCGCATTGTCTTTAACCATAAAACATGACATTGGAAAACAATCCTATGACAGGAATGGACAGGAGGGACGTCTCCCGTGACAGTCACTGGTCAGCATGGATGTCCTTCCTCTGTCCCTCTGAGGACAGAGGGAGACACGGGAGACATCCCTCTGTCCTTCCCGTGACAGGAAGGACAGAGGGATGTCTCCTGTAGCAGCAGTAGGACAGGACTCAGGAGGGACGCATCCCGTGGTGCTCACTGGACAGGAGGGGCGTCTCCCGTGGCAGAATGAACAGAAGAGACTCTATCTCTCGACAGTCACGCTGGACAGACGGACGTCCCCGGGCACAATTCGGTCTGACATCGGCCGTCTGGCCGTCTCGGTCTGTCTCTCCGGACGGACAGGTATATCGATCGGCAGCGGACCAATTCTAGTGGCTCCAGCCGTGTCTGTGTGCAGATGCTGCTATTGCAGGACTCGCCGCTGGAACTCTAACAGAGAGACGCGGGAACACTCGTGGGTGGTGGAGCGGCTGAGAGGGCGTCACCGATGGGTTTGGACCGCGGCACTCGGCGGCGGCGCGTGCGGCGGCAACTGTGTACCGGTGATGGGCCGAGAGGGAGCGGCTTTTGGGTCGGCAGGAGCGTCTTTGATTCAGTTTGATTATCAAACAATCGTTTGATAAGACGAGGATGCGAATTTGGATACGTATTGTGTCCGTTTACCGGATATCAGTTAAAACGCCACATTATAACATCAGAAGCATGTAGAATAAACGACCTCAAGGCTCAATATGGAATCAGATGTACATTATTCAACGTAAATTTGACAGAAGACCGCAGTGAAAGTCATAGTTGCAAGTTTGTCTTTATGATCAAACTCTGAATTCGGCGCTCATTTATGCATATCAGTTATCACTGCTGAGAGAGCTGCCAGTACTAGTCCTGCCGTCCTGCAGTCACTATCAGGAATCAGTGCCTCCCTCCTTGCCGCTGCCGTGCTGTTCTGCTGTCACTGTCAGCAGCCTGCCGTCCGGCAGCCGCTGCTGTCGTGCCGTCAGCAACCAGCCGTCTAACGCCCGCGGCGGAAGGCGACGGCACTGCCGTGCTGTCACTGTCAGCAGTGAGCCCTGCGCCGCGCCGCGCCCGTCGTGTTGTCTAAAATGAAGCTCGTTCCGTTCGTGCCGCTGACATTCCCAGCCCTGCAGCAGTCTTTGGACGGCTCGGATTCACTCATATCTGACGCCTGTGCCAGCGCCGCACGACGCCTGTATATCGATGCATAAAGTCGGCAGCTCAGACTGGGTGGCAAATGGGACGGCAGATGACACCCAACTGAAGACCGGGGTAGTGACGTGGGACTGGGAGGGGGAGGTAATCAGAGACTAGGAGAGTGACAGGACGGGAAGGGATGGAACTAGGGCTGTTGCTGAGTAGCAGAGGGACGAAGACGGGGTATGAGGGTGATGGGTTGGATACGGAGCAAGGACTAAGGACTGGATAAATGACACGGAGAATGGGATAAAGACGAAACGGAGCTGAGATGGAAACAGGACAAAGACGGAGAGGGAGAGGGAGGCGGAGACGAAACGAAGAAGGAATGGTGACGGAGCGGACACGGGGCGGAGACGGGGCGATGACGGGACAAATCAGGCACGCAGACGGGAGGTATCAGCAGACGTTACCACTTGGAGCACCGAAGCCGGAACATTGATATAAGGCGACATAATGATGCAGAGGCGGAAGACGGGCAGGGTCGAGAAGAGGCCAAGGATGGACCGTTAGGCACGGCAAAGGCTCGGTAGAGGGGTAATCAGATGCTCGTCGGTGATATTATGTGTCGTCAAAGCCCGTTCCGCAGCTCAGTGGCCGGCAGCTTCCCAGCGTCTGGCGCGGCGAGCAGGCGGCGCCACTAAAACGCTCATCATGCCGCCTTAGTGCCAATTCAATTTGCTGTTTCCCAGCGCGGCCGAAGTGATGCTGCCTTCCTGAGACGCTCTGGCACTCCAGACCTCCGTAGCAGTGGCAGGAGCGCACTGTGAGGAACACATTTGATCGGTATTGCCCCCAGGATTCAGCATTGCAGCTCAAGGCTCCATCAATACCGACTGCAGTGACCATTATCCCAAGACAGGTGAGAATGAATGACCACTCGGAAGCCACATCTATTCTTGTGAATGGTTCAATTGGAAAGAAATATATTATCATGCTGTACCATTAGACCATTGCCGATATTGCAGCACAATGGAGGATATTGAAGCGAGCGCTTTGATATAGATCCCCGCAGTAAAATATGCCGGAAGGTCAAAGCTTCTCAATTCAATCATCCTACAGAATGACGAGTGGTGGTACCCGATAATAGCTGGGGGAGTTATTGGCTGCTCTCTGAATTAGCTATGAAGAAGCATAAATTTGTAAGAACAGACAACATCCGTAAGGCCTGACCCAACACACAGCTAAATCTGAAGAGATTAAACCGTTTGTAAGCCACGTTAGAGCTGAGCCTCATCACAGCTAAACCGGCTCCAACTTCATTTACCAACTAGCTGCCCAGAGTGTTGTGATATTCTACATGAAATAAGTGGTTGCGACAGCTGGAACTGCAATAGCGCCATTTTATTAACGATGTTTGTCCCAGCATGCTGCAATAACAGCATACAAAATGAATATGTATGGTTTGTACGAAAGAACTGAGTAGCGAGTTGTTTACCATTTCCAACATAATGTCTTTATGCCTACACGGGTCTACATATGTAAGTCATAGACTGTTTACTTACATACCACAGTGCGATGCACCACCATATACACCAGCGACGCTATGGAAACATTATTTATTAATCGTGGCTTTGGTGCTGAAGACAATCTTGCGACTCAGACATTTGCTCGTAGCGCTGGTGAAGTGACACTGCGATATCAATAAACAAATACGTCCTGTGAGCTCGTTTGACCTGCTGTGATTTCCGGCTGCACGCCGTTCCTATGACCTGTGACCTCATGTGACCTCTCTGAGCCCTTTGTGCGGTCGGTTTAGCCGGGGACGCGTCCAGTGACAGATCGATCTCACGGCGCCGTGGCCCTGTGAAGGATACCGTCATCGTATATCGCTCATCAGCGGGTCACCGCCCTCTACATGGGGCAGTAGCTTCCGACAGGGCTGGTCATGTGATAAATGTGAGCCAGGTGAACACCCAGCGGCTCTCATGAGACATCCACTCAGTAATTGAGGAATCTCAAATGAAAGAAACATCGTCTAGGCTTCGGAGTAGGAAAGAAGACAGAAGCACGGAGACGAGATGTGGGTAACAGGAGCCGAAATATTGAAAATAAAATACAAAGATCTAAAGAGCTAAGACGGAAGACGGACATCGCAATACGGAAGTCCTAGCAGTTACGGTACTAAGCTGACGAGACGTGCTACTGCACTGTGGATGGGCTGGCCTCTCTGATGTGTCCGGCGCCATTAGTCTGCAATGCCTCCGATCCGGCGACACTCCAGAACGACACTCCGCGGCGCCACAGCGACTACAGAGGCAGACGCACTAGTTTCAATTCCAATAGTTTCCAGTCGGGAGCGCGGCACTGCGCGGCGACCGGCCGTCGGCGGGCGCTCTCAAAACAGCTGGAAACGGCTCCGATCGACGACTGGTCCGCAGACAAATCGGATTTCATGCCAAACTTGAGCGCTCGGGCCCGCCGGGAGACGAGTGACGTCTCCTCGTGCATCGAACGAGGAAGTTTCGGCGGAAGGCAAAGAATCTAAGCGTTGGAAAACAAAATAAAAAGGAATCAACGAAACAGGAGAGACGCAAACACTTGGAGAGGATAGGGGAATGAGAGACTGATAGAGAGAGAGAGAGAGAGAGAGAGAGAGAGAGAGAGAGAGAGAGAGAGAGAGAGAGAGAGAGAGAGAGAGAGGAGAGAGAGAGAGGGGGGAGAGGGAGAGAGAGTGAGAGAGAGATAGGGAGAGAGAGAGAGAGAGAGAGAGAGAGAGAGAGAGAGAGAGAGAGAGAGAGAGAGAGAGAGAGAGAGAGAGAGAGAGAGAGAGAGAGAGAGAGAGAGAGAGAGAGAGAGAGAGAGAGAGAGAGAGAGAGAGAGAGAGAGTTGGAGCTAGTGAGCCAAATGTATTTATATTTTCAGCTAATCCTACTTCCGATGTAATCTCTCGCTAATATTTCTCGACTGGTCTCGTAGACGCTCCATGACTACTCAGTCCAGCCTCATGGTCCCGGCCAAATCGTCCGTGTATGCGCTCTTCTCTGCATCAAGCGTTGTCCACTCGCCCATCAGTGGCATCTTAGTGCGGCCCGTTTCAGTTTCTTGCCGTCCGACCCGGCTCACCATCGGCCGGCCCACTCACTGATGTGCCATTTCTGGAGCTTCCCCGGCTGTGACGGCATCCCGGCACTGATGGCCCGGCCATGATCGGAGCTCGTCAGGCCCAGCCAGTTCTCAGCCGTCCTGATGGCGGCGGACCGGACCGGCGTCAGCGCTGACTTCCTGTCGAAGAGGAGCCATCACACTGCCCAGCTGCAGTCTGACTCACAGCAGACTGCATTGGAGATCCATGGGATTGCCCATGCACGGGGTGATTGGAAAGCGTGCTCAGATCGACAACTTTATCTTCCTTACATCGAGCATAGACGATGTAAGGAAGATAAAGCATAGTTGTGTCGCTTTGCAGAGGAAGGCTCAATCCACTGACTTCTGCAGGTTCGGCAGCGACCTTTGGGCTGTTGTTTGCTGTCACGGGGGGCTATTTGTCAGAAAGGGACGATAAATGAAGGTTATACGACATAGCTTCAGCATCGATGACTAGCCTGCGTTATAAGACGTGAAACACTCCAAAGCACTTCAAGGCTGAGGTATGAAGACTGGGTGGTGGTTTTAGTTATAGCGTAAAGATGTTACACAGCGAGTCACCTGACCAATTTTATTCACAGCCAATGGCCGACTCCTGCGCAGGTGATTTTTTTTTTCAACAATTGCGGCAACGTTTTGCGAAAAAGCTAGTCACTGTATTGGTCAATTATTTGAATAATAGGTATCTATATCATCGAGTTACAACGAAAAGTAAACTACAAGGTGTTCAATGACGCGTATTCTGTAACTAATACCCGATGTACAGGGCACTTTTATATAAAGTTACACTCAGAAGTCATGAAACCACAAAAAAAGGACACACGTGCAGGCACGTTTTGTATTATATGCGGCCATTTCAGACACTGGAATATTTGATATGAACAATTAGCGACACATGAAAATAAAGACATAAATGTGGTGTCGAATGTCATATGCCTCGCAGCGGTTAAATTGAAAGGCCTGAGAAGCCACAACATTCGGGCGTAAATTAACAGGATTGAGATTCTGCATCAGTTCTGCAATTACAAGTTCCACATGACCACAATCTGATTTACCGCGTTCCTTTTACATGAGTATAGGTGATATTTCAATGTTCATTTTATATCCACTGTGGTATGTCTGTCGTTTTTTTTTAATTTCCGAGCATAAGTTTTTTATTTAGCCAAGTGCCGTGCATCTCAAGCGTCCACTGTAGAAAACAGCAACGATAATAAATCAAATTAAACATCGCAAAAAAATGCGATTATAATAACAGTATCAAATAAAAAGCAACGTTAATTATGTTTCAACTTTGTAAAATCTGACATCAATGTTTGGCACAGCGCGGGGCCACTGACTCAAAAACACCACAGAAATGACACTCAAAACATCTTCAGCTCATGCCTCCTATACGCTAGGAGACATGTGTTACCAATCACGTAATAACGGACATGCAGGGACAGTTATAGTATCCCTTTTCATGACGGAACATTGGACATCTATTTTAACCGTTTGAACCGTTTGGTAACTGAAAATTTTAGTAACTGTTAACTAATAAGGCTAACTTCCAAATGAAATGTCGATTGCTTTGCTTCTTTGCTTCCAAAATCCACCAAATAGGTTCCCAGTGTTCCGTCGAAAAAAGGACTAGTGTTTGCCGGATGACATATAATTATTGAGCTGCTTTTGTTTTTGTTTGTTTGTTTTGTTGGGTTAGGCCCTTTCGGTCCAATGGGACCATTTCAGAGCCGGGAGGATGATAGGATATAGGGGGAGACATTGGTCTGGGCAGGCACCCTAGTGAGTCACCGGGGCTGAGCCCGTCCAGAGGACAGGCCACCCAGCCCCAAGGTACTCACTGCACCCGGCTTCGGGGAGCGCTCCCTCGGGAGCAGCGGTTCTGCTCCAAGGGAGCAGCCCGCATGAGATAAAGTTGCCTGTCCAGCCCGGAAGGGGGTTGCGGCGTGGAGGAGAAGGATTTCAGTATCCTGAGGATAGAAGCACGGAACGGTGTCTAGCTGCTTTGAACATGGCTCATTTTTAAACACAGCTCATCACTTCAACTTCTCTCGTAGCAGTAGCTTTGGTATCGTATAACGTGAAAGTGTTTATGTATAAATAGCTTCATCCTCTTACTTTTGCGCCTGCGATCAATCAATACATTCACTTTGCCACAACGTCACCACTCACACTCTCCACCCCGTGGCGACATGTCACAAGACATGCGATGACGATGAAGCCCACTGAAGGTGAGAATGATCACTATTTCCTCAGCGTATAAACCGGCAGCGCCGCACTGCCCTCTGTAGGTGACCGGCGGAAGCTAGAACTGCGTCGTCAGCTGACTATGGCTCAGTGTCGGGCCCGGCTGCCGCTGTAGCCTCTGCGCGGGCCGCGACGGACCGGCCTGGTGCCTCCTTAGCGTGTGGATCGCAGCCTGCGGAGAGAAAACAGTGAAAAACAGGGCTTCTTCTAGATCTGTTTACACTTACAGTAGTTGTAACCCACTACTAGTTATCTACCCACCTATTCTGGCAAAGTTCAAAATGAATATATTTTTACACATAAAATTGCATTTGTTGTAGAACAAGATAACACACACAAACGTCATTAACATTTTTGCTTATTTTGCGCGAGGAATCGCTCGATAGTGTGCGTTTCACAAATAATCGAAGCCAGATGCCTATAGAGTCAAATTTTAGACGTTCCTATACCTACCTGTTGTTTATGAAAGACAGCAAATTGTGCATGATTGTGCGTGCCGAGACCAAATATCGGTGATTAATTATATTTCTATTTACCTGACTGGTGTATGCATTAATCAAAGGTCTCATTATTACACCCAGATTACATGTCAGCGTGTGTGAGACGGCGGGCGGGTGCGAATAGGAGCCGTAGATTAGTCGGGACAGAACCAATTCCCGCAACAAACCAGTGACCTGGAACGCTCCCTTACAAACACACAGACGCCTGCGCGGGTGCTGCCGCCGGATCAACAAACGATATCGGGAGGCACTGCTTTGCAAATAAGCCAGCGTCCCCTAATCACTGAGCTGTTTTTGAAACGAGCTATCGTTTGTGACATGTCTTATTAACGTTTTTTTTTCTGTAGCCGGAGTTTTTATTTAGCCCAAAAACTGATCATTGCGATATTTTCACTAAATTAAATGACAACAGCCAAAGGGTGTCCGGATTGTCATTCACTCCCAAAGCAAGCGGTCGTAATTTTGAGGAATATAAATGATCTTCTTTGGAAAAAGGCACTTCTCTGCTTCTGCTGATACTTTAATCATAAAGGAAAATTTCAAAAACTGCTACGACCGACTTTATTGAATACAAAGGACCGCCAGGGATTTGCTGATGGTGGTAAGTCTCGAGGTTTCTGTAACTGCAGGGTGGGCGGCCAGCGGCCACCTGTATTCTGCAGAGCGCCGCCAGCAGCCATAGACGTCAGCGCGAGATAAAACAGGCCTGGTCCAGAGCAAAGGTGCCAGCGTGGCCGCGGCGCAAACTGCCGCGGGGCAAACTGCCCCAGGCCAGGCGCACCAAACTGCCCCAGGCCAGGCGTGTGTCAGCCTCCAGTTGAGAGGTTTGCTGTGGTCCCTAGCAATGATCAGAATGGTGCACAGATAAGGCGGCTCAAAGGACTTCTGCTGTGCAAACGCAAACTGTGCTTACGTAGATAGACATGATGGAGCGGTCTGAACGACAAACGGGGGAATCACTCGCGCGAGCATTGTTGTTCAGTCTTGAATAGAAGGTAGATATTCAGACATGCTGACACTCCAGCTGTTTATTTGATCACGAAGTCACAAAGACTGCTGAGTTGGTGACAAAGTTGGAAACGTAAGAAAACAATCCTAGAAACCATCACACTGCCAACTGAGAATGATATTGAATGATTCTACTAAATATGCATCCATTTTCATGTTTTGTTTGCCTGCTTCTTTACTGGGAGCAAGCTGAACTTTGGGAAATTTACAAAGGATGTAATTTTTTTTTCAAATAAACTGCCTGCAGTAAGTTTGTTTCGCGCACTTATGTCCTATGTCTAAAATCTCTGGCCGGTTCCCACACCTCTCCGACGTCCTCAATCCCCCCTTCCTTACCGCCCAGTCGATCCCGCAGAGTTTCAATCCCCTCCCTCGTCACCGCCCAGTCCATCCCGCAGAGTTCTAATCCCCACCGCGATCCGGTTCGTCGCCAGAGAGACAAAAAACTTCGCTCCCAATCCGGTGGCTGTGACGTCATCGCCAATACCATTTGAGCCGGCCGCGGCCGCGGGGTGGGGGGTTGAGGGGGGAGGGGGTCACAAGTCGGTGCCGACGGCCCGCCAGCGGGGCTGCTGACTCGGCTCAGCGATGCAGGACGGCCGGACGACGGCGGACGTACCGGTCCGGCGCGATGTGGCACCCACATCATCGGATTATAAACCAGGCAGTTGAGGGGAGATTGAACAGATCCGCCCGTATGGTGAGGCGGCAGAGCCTATAATTATGATAATCTACCACGTGTGATATTTACTGATCCGTGGGAAGACTATGCTTTTCTTCTAAAAAATGAGCGTTGCTATTTCTTAGCTGTAAATAGCCGTTTTGCCTTAGGATTTTGCTAACAAAAAATCCTGTTACCTGTCAGGATAATCAGTTGGTAGACATGCTCAATTTTCATCATGTCATACATCAATCTATTCACCGTTATTCCTCATCACAACTTCTCGTGACCTATCCGAAGCCAATTGCGATCCATTCCCCAGCCCCGAACTCCAGCATGTCCTCACTCACCGTGCCAGCGTGCGGCCTTTCGTGCCAGATCTCTTGGTCGAGCCACGCCGGAGGACGGCTCTGCCGCGGGAGACTGCTAACCCGCACCTCCCCCGAAGGGTCCCCGAAGCTCCCTGGAGGGGGCGGGTACCGGCCGAGCCTGGGCGCCTCCCGAGAGGGGTGGAGGCTGGGCCCGGCCGCCTCACACGACGGAAACCGTCTGAGAGGGGGATGATGCTGAGCGGAGAATGGGCCGGGTCCGAGGCTCCGCTGAGACGGCAGGTGCTCGGCGGCCAGCCAGTCGGAGATGGTCTCAGGACCATCTTCAGTCCTTCCACCTCCTGAGGATGAGATAAGATAATGGATGAGATGAAGAATAATTAAGAAAAACTTTGCCGAACATTAAACCTGGTATAGGATGGATGCTACCATCATTATTGAAACGGCACAGCAACATAGACTAGGCAATCAACATAAAATTAAGCACTTTCAAAGAAGTGGACGGAGAGTCATGCATTAGTAAAATCTCTCAAAACATTCCACTGAGACCTCTTTAGTTCTCAGCCTGATAGGCAGACAAGCTTCATTTTCCAGTTATAATCTTAAGCACCAAACAGCCATTGATTTATTTAGCTGGCCGGTTTCTATCGTTCCGGCCGGCCGGTCACCTGTTTTTGTGGCCGGTATCAGGTCGGGACTGCAGGGACACTCGTCGCTCTGGCCCGATCCGTCCGCTGTCGACATCGTGTGAACGGTCGGTGTATTTCGCTGGACGCCCTGAGGGGAAGGGAGGAGAGACAGTGAGTGACGGTAGAGAGATGAGAGCAAGGGTAGAGAGACAGGAGGGAGCGAGGGTAGAGAAAAAGGGATGATTGATGGGTCTGATACTTTCTGAGAGAGTGCTATCGCTGTTGTCAAGGACATGCTACAAATAGTGGTTGATGAATATGATAAAAATAGAAGACATTATGAGAGGGAGGGCAAAGGGCAGGGTCAACGCAACAAGCTTTGCTGCGGGGGCTCTGTCGTGAATCCTCTCATTCAACAGTTTCGGACTAAATTTATAAAAAGAGCCAGGGATATTACAGGGCTCAAAATACACTTGGGTGTTGAAGTAAGAAGCCTGATTCTTCTTGGGAATTTTTCGTCGCTGCCTCCCAGATTAACGAGCTGGCACACTCATCTAAATTTATTCGTTAAAGTAGGCATATTGATAACAGAAATCTTCAATTGATGATATGTGATTTTCTTCAACATCCTTCACGCCAAGTCAAGCAAAAGGTTGAATCCAATCAATTTGCACCGTTGTTTGCACAAGTTAAATTTAGCGTGGTAAAGTACACACCAACTTTGCATATGTTTACGACGCACTCAAAGAGCCCTCGGAAGTGTATTGACGCTTAAGAACTTCTACTTGAGGAGAGAAACTGTTCAGTACGTACACATGAGCTACTGAAATTCCTTCAGGTTTGCTGCTCTGAAGTCTTACGTGTGGCATACGGTTCGGTCATTACTTATCGCCAACGCAAAGTAAAATAATTATCTTTGCCAGGTAAAAGAATCGTCTAAAGCTTTGAGTCATTGAATCGGAACAGCATGAAGCCTTTATGTAGGAATCCATAATATCAAAAGAAGTAAACACCACAATCGACTTCGTACTTATATGACGTGTCCAATGGCCAAGAATAATGAGCTTATATATAAGCCTAGCACATGAAATACATAAGAGCCTTAAATAGGTTGATACACGTATCGTTACATGCACAATCCACATACCTTCCTAATTACGAAAAATATCCGCCTCTAATGCAGTTAAATTTGTTTATATGTATAGGTTACATGCACCGTCACTTTACTAAGCAAAAGCAAAAGCAGCTTCCATCAAACATTCAACCAATCACGGTGTGTCACAATCAGCATGTCTGCACCACTGGTGAAGCGTCCCAAAGAATCCTGCACTGCTCGTCGACGCGCCTTTCCGTTCTTCCCACCGACCACACGAGCCGGCACTGCGGCTCGTGTGGTGGGTAGGCATCTCGCATTGCACCGGAGTACTGCGGCACAGCCTAACTTCCAGTCAAACTCCGGCCACCAGCCGTATTTGACGGCCGCCGCTCGGAACAGAACCGTTTTCGATGCTGCTCATCCGACGCAGCCAAACTACACCGTGCTTATTGATATAATTGGATGGCTAGCTAATTACAAGTGACGTAACGGAACAAACACTTCAGTAAGATAGCAAACTACAGATTACAGAGTATTGTTACAAGAACGCTCTTGCTTGAAGATTGCCTTCACCGACCTTTGCTCTGTACCTAATTAGCTGCATCTGTCATCTATTCATTAGAATGACATCAAATAAAATGATGTTTTATTTATCCTATTACATTACGATCTTATAAGGTCAACATTTGTAGATTCGACCGTAAACTTTGGCCAAACCAAGCTTCAAGTCTTGGGCAAAACAACTGGAAGTGCAAACCATTTTTCCACGAAGTAAATAAAATCATGACATTTTCGTGAACACTCAGTATGGTGTTAACTAACAACCAGTACCCAGTATGAATATGCATATGGTGCACATTCAAAGTTCATTTCAACTTGCCTGTCACGGCACCGGTCGTCGCTGCACCTACCTTGGCTGAAGCTCGTCGGCTGCGCCAGCACCGCGCCAGCGCCAGCAGTGCGGCCAGCAGGAGCAGCAGTCCCAGCAGGCCCAGCAGCGGCGGCCCGGCCAGCTGGGTGGCTGATGTGGCAGCTGAAAAACACACACCGTCTCCGGTCAGCGGTGACCAGGTGGGTGGGCGGGCGCCCCGTTACAGCGCTCGCTGGTAGTTTGATCACGTGCCCCGCGCGCCGACTACTCGCCGGCGACCGGGCCTGATTCAATTCCATTCCATCTGCCGGTCTCCGCGGGCCTGCGCCAGTCTCAGGTGGGGTGTCTGACGTGTGCACCCACGTGCAGAGTCAGGGCTGATGTCCGGTCAGACCGGATATCTGAGAGGATTTGGTGAGATGGACGGAGTCGGACCGGGCGCGCCGCTGAATACCAAACTGCACGCGAAATCCGCTCCGAGTGAGGTCTAATGGAAGCGGCGCACCGACAGACGCGATGACGGCCCGTGACCTGACTGGGAACTGGGAGCGGGGTGGACCATTGTCTACTGTCCATTGTCTGGTGTCCATTGTCCACGGTCCTCGGTCGTTCACCGCCCATCGTCCACCGTCCACTGTCCATCGTCCATTTTCCACTGCTCACCGTCCACCGTCCACTGTCCACCGTTCACTTTCCAACGTCCACCGTCTGCTGTCCATATTCTGCTGTTCACCTCACATCAATCAGCTATTCATCGTCCACCGTGCATTGTCTACAATCCACTGTCCACCGTCCAACGTCCACCGTCCACCGTTCACTTTCCACCGTCCACTGTCCACGCGCGTCTGCTGTCCATATTTTGCTGTTCACCTTACATCAATCAGCTATTCATCGTCCACAGTGCATTGTCCACCGTCCACAGCCCACCGTCAACGTGCATCGTCCAACGTCTCCACCAAAGTCCACCCTCTACTTCTACTGTTCATCATCCACCGTCCACTGTCCACCGTGACCGTCCATCGTCCACCGTCCACCGTCCATAGCCTGCTGTCCACCTTAGTCCTTATATCATCATTCACCTACGCTGTCCGCCCATAATCCAATGCAACAGTTCCACGCTCCCCCAAACGACACACACATCAGACGGGTCACGTTTCCCAGATGTGTCGTGTTTCGTGAGCCGCAGCCGCCGCCACCTGTGGTCACGGCAGCAGCCAGCCCCGACGGCGCCGGTGTTATGGGCCGGTACAATCGGAGTCTGACAGGGCACCTGCGGCCGCCGCTCACCAGGGTCCGGGTCGGTGGCGAAAAGGAGTGAAAACAGCTCAGAAAGGAGCCGTGGTCCATTTCCTGATTGGATTGGATTTCCTGAGAATTCGAGCAGCCTGGGCGACATTGAAACCCCAGCTGACAATTCAGCACTGAATGCACTGCTCTGAGTGACGTCCAACACAATGTAATGGTCACACGCCCGTTCAGACACTACTGTCAACTGTTAGTGTAGGTACAGCTCTCGCAGTATTTACATAGTGGTTGATCAACCAATGTGTTTTATTGATAATAACTTTGAATGACTTAGACACTCCAATAAAACCGCATAATAGAAATAAGAAGAGTATGTACACTAAGGCAGTATTTATCAACAGCCTACGGACATATTTATCTGTATTCATCGACTTTTGTATGGTTGCAACCAACCACTGAATGCTGTGAGATATGTACGATAAGCATTGTGCCATCTAATCACACATGACATGTCTCCATGATATCCCCATGTGGCCATGTGTGATGTCAGTTGGAAATATGGTCGCTGTGCCGGTCCTCACTTGCCGCCAGATCGGTCTGTCCGTCGGTGCGCGCCAGCAGCGTCAGCGGAGTGCTCGCTCCCAGCGGGTTCATGGCGTACACGTGCAGTGAGTACGTCTCGCCCGGAGAGAGACCAGCCACCTCGAAACTGGCCGGCACAGAGACACGGAGTCAGTGGCGCCGGGAGGCTGCCCGGCCGTGGGAAACAACCGTTTGAAAAGATTCACTGAGCCATAAGGTGTCGCCATAGTTCTTGGGGAAGTAACAGAACAGTTTCTCGGGGAAAAGTTACTGAGAGATGTTCTGAAAGTCATGCTTCTACATAGTCCAGGTCGATTGTCTCCCACGGCCTGTCAAAAAAGGATAGAATAAAAGTAGAATCCAGTGATAATAATAGATTGTCGCCATTCGGCCGATGTCACATTAGCACATTTTAACCTCGGGATATTTTTGATTACTTTGTTAGGGCAGATCATAGGTAACGCGTTGAAATAGTAGTGTTTTGTCTCTTCAACCGTCAGATATTTGCACTTTATGGTAACACATACAGGTATGGATGGCCTCCAAAATATGTAGGTAAACGTATCAGCCTGCCACGCACAAATATTCATGTTGAGGCACTAGATGTCTGAAGCACGGGGCAGTGCACCATGTAAGTAATTCATTAATTCCGTGTACCAGACAAGCGTTCTCTACCGTTAGGAAGCTAAATGGCCATCTGGAACGAGCGGTTAACGCGAAACGTTATCTGAAATTTACAACTAGTACGGTCGGGAGACGCGGCCGTCTCCTGGTCATTAATATTCCACACCAAAATGAAATGGCGCTGAAGCTCATACGCCAAGTTGCACAGTCAGACGACTGGCAATGGCGCCTATCTCCGCCTTTCTGGCCATTATTAATAGATCCGTTCTGGGGGCGCGATCCGTCCGAGGGCTCATCCGTTATGCGTCTCTGCGGGCGCCGCGGACCGCTGCCGCTGGCCGGGGAATCAACTCCGGCACCGGCATCGCAAAGTTCACACGATGCAGGCAGTCCGTCTCCCGGCCCAGACTCGGCACGTCTCCCGGCAATCACATACGCCCAAAGTGCGGCGGGCTGCTACTAGTGGGCAGACACTGGTGATTGGAAAATGGCAATGACTAGTGATCCCGCGTCCGGTTATCCCAACTCGGTGACCCAGTATCTAACTTGGCTCGCCCATAGCGAACGTGAGTGTTTTCCCAAACAGTTGGCAATTTATTGGAGCCGGCGGCAGTGGGATCAGTCAAAGCTAATAACGGCCGCCACTGACGGACGCGCCTCACAACACTGGGCCGGGGGCGAGCGGCGCGGCGGCTCAGATCCGCACCGAGACGGGTACGATATGACCTCGGTATCACGTCACTATAAACCCGACACAACACAGATGAAAGAATAGACCTGTAGGCAACAGATGCACATACAGTGACAGTATGGCTGCTATACACGGCTTCACACATTTCGCCAACACCACACTGACGTTCCACATTCGTACGTAATTAACTGGTAGGTATCTATAAAGACATCTCTACATTCGTATATTTTATCAGTTCTGTACCAAACGAGTAGCAAACTGGACTAGCAAAGAGTAAATATCAAATATCCTAGCTCTGAAATTCAGCTTGGCAGCCAAGAATAACTCTTAATTAAAGCAGGCTTTCGGGAGTGTTGAACCACTAATATGTAAATGCGCTTGTCACGCCATTTGCCCAAATGGCTGACTATTTAGGCAGTGCGTGTTACCATTAGCCAACTGCACAGCTGAAACAATATCTGAGACGGTAGTGTCACTTCTAATAACTCTTACCGCCTGCAGCACGGCTGAAAATATCGTGGCATGTTTGGATCTGATCTTACCGCACACTTTGCAAAAATGACTCTCGTAGTTAACAAATTAGCGAGAGGTAGGCGGCAACTAATAATGACCTGCTGTTGACAAATAAAATGTCAACTGACCCGAGATAATGACAATCGGTACTAAAGGTTAGGGACTGGGGTGTCGTTGGCCACTGAGATGGGTCGATGGAGCTGACCTGAGGTCGGTGGAGCTGACCTGGGGCCGGTGAAGCTGACCTTACTACTGACCTGGGGTCGATGGAGCTGACCTTACACTCACCTTGGATCTGTGGAGCTCACGTTGGCCTGCCTTCTACTGTCGGCCGCCCGGAACACCTCCACGTGGAAGGTCTGTCTCCGACCACCGTCGTGACCCGGCACACAGGTCAGTCGGATGGAGTCGGCGGACCGACCGGTGACCCCGCACTGCTGAGGCCGCCACGGCCGGCTGGCCGCCTCTGTAACGGGAAAAAGACAGCATACTCTGACGGAACCTGACACACGGTGTCGATGCTGAGCATCGAGCTGAGATAAGAAGGAGACGTATGTAGACTTATTTTTCTAGCAAAAAGTATGATTATAGCTATTCTCTTCAGCGCTTAGATATGTAGGTAATCTTTCTCATTTCTGTATATTTCAATCCCTGATGACGAAGACGAGAGGTCTTTGAAACCGGTTGGATGTATCAAAATATGCTGTTCTGTGCCTCAATATACGTCTTTTTGTTAGACTTATGTAGGATATGAGTGATACCGATGGGAGATACTCCATTGAAAGAAGATATGGCATCGTTAGGAAATGTGATACTAAGACACAGACTCAGATTCTATGGACACTGGTGTTCCGGAAGTGTTTTTCCTTTTTTGTCAATAGATGCTACAAGGTCTTATTGCAAAAGCTGCGTATAGTTTAATTGGACTGCTGAGAGGAAATATTGCACTAGTTGGGCGCGACTGTTGACAGCTAGCAACGAGTGCCTTGGATGTTCGAGAATCAAAATAGGGCGACATTGATTGATACTAGCACCGTGACATCAGAAATGGTGTGCTATAAATAGTCGGACAGGAACAAAGAACAAAAGCTTATAATGACGATCAATAGGAGATTTCAATGATTTCAACAAGCTTGCTTTATTCTTAATGTTTTGAGCGCAGCTACACTGGTGCCTGCTGAAGTGAGTGTAATATCCGGGAATGTCCCACTGTTGCAATTTTCTCAAATCGCAGGCCCCGTATGTGACATGACCTTTAACGAGCGCCGTTTCCGGCCAGCAAATGCCGTCTGGCAGTCGCGCGCATTAGTGCATTACCTACCTGCCGGCGAAAGGTTGATGACGCACGGTTTATACTGCTCGCCCAGCGCGTTGGTCGCCCAGCAGAGAAGGGTCGGCAGCGGGTTCTCCACGGACACCGGCACAGCGATGGTGGCCGTGCTCACATTGAGCAGAGCCCCACTCAGGTCCGGCACGGTACCTGAAAATGGCCCCAGATCGCTGAGCACTTCAGCGCCATATCCCAAACCCATAATTCACCTCACACAAGTTTCCTGGAAAGTGGCATTAGCGGAACGCTAGCATTTGCCATTCCACCGGTCTCGTACACCGAACCGGACCCGGAACATTTCATTAAGCCCCTCCCGGCCGGTGCAGCTGTCGGCACAAGTTTGCCTCGGCCCAGAGTGTCTCCGGCACGCTGCTAACCTCCGTAGGTGCCGTCCAAGTTGGCCCGCGGTGTCTGCGCCACGTATGTGTCGTCGGTGTCGCTGTCAGTACTCGTGAGTTGTCGGAAGTCGATTCGGCGTTCCTATTGGGGTAAGCAAGGGCCGAGGGACTCTGCGCCGGGCTACATGTTCATGTCCGTTAATGCATAATGCATATGTTTGACCGCGTCCGTTATATCCTTGACTGTGTTCGAAAAAGTATCCCTGACCAGTTTCGAGTCCGATTCTACGCCAATACCCCCTTCTCTCCCTCTCTCTCTCCCCTCTCTCTCTCTCTCTCTCTCTCTCTCTCTCTCTCTCTCTCTCTCTCTCTCTCTCTCTCTCTCTCTCTCTCTCTCTCTCTCTCTCTCTCCGTGTCTGTTGATGCATCGTCGTTGCCTCTTACCCTTCTCGTGTCATTGTCCTTTGTCTAGGTGCGAGTACGTGTTCCTGTCTGTGTCCGTGCTCAATGTCCTATGTGTCCGAATACGTCCGTGTCCTCCCAGCATCCCTCCAGCGTCGCCGACTTACCGAGGCGGTCGCTGGACAGCGCCCACCGGTACCGCCGGGCCGGCGGGTGGGCCGCCACTGGACACGTCACGTTGGTCGAGGGACCGCGACTGGCCGGCTGGGACGTTCTGCGCGGAGTGCGACACATCGGACGGTCTGAGGACAGATAAGGACAGGTCAAAAATGAAACACTGGCATAGGTCTGTCTAAAGAACATGTGAGAGAAATCGACTGGAATATAACGGTAGTGTATTTATTCGCATAAATCAAAATTGAACTGTGTATAGGTAAAATATTTACTGTTTTATTGAGCTTAACGTCGTTTTTGTATGAATTTATTGCAAGAAAATAATTCCAGAGCCCGTATTTTTTACAGAAATTCTGGGCCAATTGTCGATTAAACAGTCCTCCTTAGGTGTCAGCCCCGATGTTTATTCAATTTGCGCGCCTCTCTCCGCCTCAGAGGCACGTGCGTCTACAAGATGCCTCTCCACTAAGTGATCCGATTTCGCTGTCGTCCCGCGGGCTGTCCAGGCGCCGCGGGCCGCGGTGAGTTATTCGATCCTGGCCGATTGAGCGGCGACACACCCGCGCCACGGAGCCGCACCGGATCCGCCCCCGGCCCCGGGCCGAGGAGGCAGATAATGGGCGCCGATGGCGGACTCGAGCGCACCAATCCGATCGTAAAATTGCCAAATTAAATCGCCCGCGGCCTGAGACAATATGTGAAGAGAGCGTCAAATCCAGACGAGCTCCGCCGAGCAGGCAATCGTACAACAGAGCCGGCCGGCCTATATTGGCGGCGGACTGAAATGGAGGCCGGCGCCGATATTGGCGACATTTGGGGAGCTTTTCTGTTCTTCCGGTGCTGTTCAATGAAAACGGGCCTGGCTTGGTCTGACAGACACATAGCGCTGCTGCCTCTTGACTCAAGCTCAGAGCGGCGGAATTTTAGGGCTGTTCATCGCCGAATCTTTTTGGCAGGACATATTTCATCAGTGGACGCCGTAGATTGCCCATAACTTACAAATGAAACTCTCAGCGACACCATGAGGACGGCCAGGGATACCGGCGGAACGGCGCGAGTTATCGCCGACCGGCCACCGCTGAGGTGCGGCCGGCACATCATATAAACGATATTTACTCCTTCGATAAAATATAATCAAGTGTTTGTATATAACTAACCATGAATATTGCAACATATTGGGTGAATTTAACAATTCTTTAACATCGCTCGGAGCCTAGAAATTGTCGTATAGGCATAACTCTTCTTAACCCGCGCACCGACGGGGGGGCGGATATCCGCCCCCCTGAGGTTTTTCGCGAATAGCGGGAAAACCGCGGCGCGTAGCGCCGGGAAATTTGGTATGACTATTCCCTCATCAATTTTACACATGGTGTGCAAGTTTGAACCTTCTACCTTTCAAGGTCAGGTCACCAGGTCACTTTGAATGACCCAACCTCAAGTCACTTTTTTGCAACTTTGTCACCGTGCCAGAGCTACAGTAGATGTCGGAGGTCTTTGAAAGTCGCAGGATGTTATTAGGTCATTAGTAGCTACAATTTGTATATCTCGGAATTTCGATATCGGTGACCCAAGGTCAGGTCAATTTCGCGACCTCCCCATTATAAGTCAATGGGGGAAAAATCAACTCCCTGTTTTCACCACTAAAACGGGTCGGAATGGCCCCATATACCATACATGACTTCATATACGATCAACCTTCACTACCTTGAGGTCTGTTTTGCTGTTGGGCAGCTGTGAGGTCATGTGACGTCATCAAAGGTCACCAAAGGTTTTTGGCCAATAACTCCGTACAGGAACAAGATACAGACGCGTGAATGGTCTCAATGTGTTCAGCTCGTCAAGACGCATCGAATGATATACATGATGACCTCGAGGTCACGTGACCTGAGGTCAACCTTTGACCTTGACCTTTCGAGATCAACATATATATCATTCGATGCGGATTGACGAGAGGATTACGATGATGCCCTTAGTTTGTTCCTATCTTGACTAATTCGAAAGTTATTCGAGAAAAACCCTCTCCATATCTAGCGCCGCCATTTTGACTTTTTCGACCCCTGTGACGTCATCTGTGACCTGACCTGAAAATGACCTTTGTAAAAATTGTAGATCTTGACCGTGCGTATCCGATGCCGTTTACCGCTTGTCGCTATCTTGCTTCGTTCTCGAGATCTCAGGGGGGGGTCATCCGCCCCCCCCCCGTCGGTGCGAAGTTGGCGCAGACCCCCGTCGGTGCGCGGGTTAAAACATGCCTAAGCCAGGTGATGGGTGGCGAAAAAATCGCCGAAAAATCGCCAGCAATCTTTCAACCATGGATTCGAGGCTTATAAGTCTATGTAAAACAGCACATTATCGCAGCTCACAAACATCACTATTGCGCTCGGACTCCGTTCCGACCCGTCCCCGCTGACCACTCGGCCCCAGGCTACGGTCCTCTCCGTCCCGCGGCACTCACGCTGGACCTGCAGGCTGATGGCGTTACTGGTCACAGAACCCTGACTGTTGGTAGCCGAGCACGTGTACATTCCCGCATCGGACGGACGCAGCCGGCGCAGCAGCAGTGTGTCGTTCCTTACGGTGACGTCACTGGTGGAGCTGGTCACCCGGCTACCCTGGCGGTGAGAGGGGACTGGTTACCCGACTACGCTGGTGAGAGGGAGCTGGTTAGTGGTTACCCCGCTACCCTGGCGGCGAGAGGGGAGCTGGTCACCCGGGTATCTTAGTGATAGGGGTTCTAGTCACCCGGCTACTCTCAGGGGAACTGGTCACCTGGCGGTGAGAGATTGTCACCTGACTACCTTGTGATATGAACTGGTCACCGGCCTACCCAGGCGGTGAGCGGGGACTGGTCAGTGGTCAGCGATTTTAAATATGCAAATACATTTATAGGTTGCCATCGTCATGTTTTCGCTGGCTGACCTGATCCAACATTTTTGTCCGATTGCTACGATTCATGCTTGTGGATTACAAACTATTAATCTGAAGACTTACTGCGGGTCGGAGCAATCACGTAAGTTTCAAGCAGGTCCGACATTTCAAGTTTCTGAAATGTGTCTGCTGCAATGCTCCAACTGCCTATGTGAATAAGGCCTAATGATGCCATACATCAAAGGTGCTCCGCGCTGGGGTGGAGGGCAACGCCGAACTTAGAAGTCACTTATGTCTGAGAGACGACATTTGCCGACAAGTTGAGGACGGTGCCGCAATAGTTTCGACATAACGTACACATTTCTGAAAATATAACATCTATCCACACCACAAAAGTGACATCAAAACAATAAATGTTACCCTGAAATGACAAATCATCCTAATGTGCGCATTGCAGTTAAATTCAAAGTACAATCAGATCAAACTGTCGCATCCGACATCAAAATCGCATCAACCGTGTTCCCCACACGCAAAGGTATCGCGTCACACATCACTACGCTCCACTCACGTCATGTCGCCAGGTGACGTCAGTGATGCCCGGGTTGGCGCTGATGTTACAGCGCATGCGCACTGTGTCTCCCACAGAAGTGTTGTCCCGGGGCCACGAGGTCAGCGTCACAATCGGTGGATCTGCGAAATGATACATTCATTCAAGCTTATTTGAACGACGAATACAGTCTTATATGGCTTCGTGCGTCACATTGAAATAAATAACACGTAATACCACAGAACTCGGTATGCATATTGCATAGGTCCATCTAACATGGTAATACCCTCAGACATCAACCCTTTGCACAAGGTTCCGTACACCATTTCAGTTGTTATTCAGTGGCACCGTGTGGTTAGTGTTAGTCGTTCGTTGCCCTGGGATATTACCCCAAAAATGTCCACAATCTCTCCCATTTTTTGTTATATCGTGTAGTTTGTCATGCGGTCTGACAGATGATTGTAACGCATTACCGGAGCGTATGATGCATGGGCGGGCGGCCTCATTAGGAAGCGACAAATCACGCCGGCTGTTTTCGGAACGCTCATACGACTTGCATTAGCCGGAGGGGGCGCACAATGTGGGTGGGGGTAGGGGGTGGCCATTTCTGGACGCAGATCTGTGATCCTCCATTAGAGCGAACACACAAGACACGCGTTAGTGCGTAGAGATCATCAGCATAAGCGAGGTGTTTGCAGCGGTCGATCGCGCGTGCTTCCCTAACCCTCGCTGGACCTATTGGTTTTCTACATACGCGCCGGCCGAGGGGGGCGGATACGACCCCCCTCGCCGTTTCGGCCCTGGTGGAGCTAGCGCATCGCATAAAAAAAACGAGCGTGTGCGCCGTTACGAGACGCAGAAATTGATACCCGATTTTAAGGTCCTAGGTCAACCGGTGACCTCTGAGGTCAGGTCAAGTGCCCCAAGGTACGGTTCCGTTTTTGGCGAATAACATCGCACAAAACGGCCGCAGAGCCGTGATTTTGGCAGCATCGTGTTTGTCTTGCTCAGGCGCGTCGAATGATATTTTTTTTGGGTGAGGTTAGCTAGTGTTGACCTCGGGTCACGGTCAGGTCAGCGCCCCCCTGGGTCACCAAATTGGTCGAAGGAGGTCATGTCGCATAGCATTCGATTTGGCACGATCTTCCTGAGTCCATTGGTGCCTTTTCCGACTCGCTAGCTCAATTTGATCGGGAGTTATTGACGAAAAACTAATATGACCCTAATGACGTCATAAATGACGTCACGCAAGGTCAACATTGCAAAAGTGACGCATCAAACCTTGCAAGAAGTGCATGAAATTACGATTCTGTGTGCTTGATATAGTTGCAGATCGTTCCCGGCGTCAGAATATCAGTTTTCATTTTTCCCCATTGACTTATAATGGTGAGGTCACGAAGATGACCTGACCTCATATGACCTTAAAAAAAATCCCAAGTATATAAGTTGTGAGGCGCCTAATGGATACTAGGTCCTGCAAGTTTCATTTCCCTGTGAAAGCTCCTCTGGCAGTGAGAGAGTTGCGAAGTTGCGACATCTGAAGACCGTGCAGAGGTTCACTTATGACGTCATAAGTCAGTGACCTGACCTGATCCGAAAATTCGGATGGTGTCGAAACATCCGGCTTGAATCAAAGGTTAGGTATGTCAAGTTTCAGCTCTCTATCGCTAGCGTGTTCGGAGCTATCGCGAAAAACCCTAGGGGGGGGGCGGCACACGCCCCCCCCCCTCGGCCGGCGAGGGCTAATTGCCGCTGGGCTCTCACCCACTTACAGTGAACGGTGATGACGCGGCCGTCCTCGGCAGTGACGCGGCGCAGGTGAGGGTTCACCGCCTGGCAGCGCAGTCGCAGGCCGTCGTCCTTCACCTGCGGCGTAAACGTCAGCGTGGAGAGCGCCACGTCGCCGGCTCCCGGCGTGCCGTCCGGTACCGGCACGGCCGTGTGCTGGCGCAGCTGCAGCCCGTTCAGCCACCAGGTGACCTCGGGCGCGGGCCGTGACCCCACCACTCGACAGGTGACCTCCGACGGCTGACCGGCAGACAGTGGCGAGCTGTCCCCCAGCATGGAGATACCCAGCGGCGGCACTGGAAAGCGAGTGGCAGGGTTAGAGAGGGACAACGGTACTGGAGCCATCGCTGTGGTCAGGGCGAGACGGTGGCACTGGAACTAGTAGCGAGGGACGACGGCAATGCAACCAGGGATGACGTCATTGGGACCAGCGAGTGACGATTGTACTAGAATTAACGAAGGAACGACGGCACTGGGACTAGCACTGGAGAGTGAGACGGTATAACGGCTCCGGGGTCGAGACACTGAAGAAAACAATAGGAAAACAAAGCAGCTCTACAGTCTACACCGCCGGCACAAAGCAGCTCTACACTCTACACCGCCGCTATAAACATTCCAGCCTTTAGACAAAAACTGCCAAACAAAGCCTTTACTGCCAATACCGCTCTCTCCTAACGAGCCGATCACATTTAGCGATCACAATGAGTCCGGTCCCACAGCAGTCGATCCGGCCCAAATGGCGGCTCCTCGGCGTTTTTCCACGCCATCTGCGCTGTGGGACAACCCTGTCGGCGGTCCGCCTTCGGTCGCTCGATCACCGGGCCGGCTCCGGCAGCGTAACTAGGCTCCACGTCCCCCGGTGGCCGCACCACATCAGACCCAATCACGTCACGATTGTCTCCGATTGTTTTGGCGCACTCAGCTCGAATACCAGCTGAGGTCAGCGCAGGAGTTTTCTGAACTGACAAGGTCAGATCAGAAGTAAGAAAGTTTCTAACACTGAAACAGCAAGTCGTGTCATCCTGTGATGTCAACGAGCAGCAAAATGTCTTGATGTGATTTCTAATTTATTTTAGCTTGATCCAGTCCGTCCAGTCGGGGCTAGATTAGATGCCTATGTTTTTAAAGGTCCCCGAAGGTTGGTGTTTGGCTTACGATTCCGTTACATTTCTACTCATCTTCGATTGTGCAACTTGATTCTTGTGAATACAATGCGAGGCACGACAGCAAAACGCCTCTGCGCTTATGGGTACCCACTACCCGTGTAGGCATCAGGCGGCAGCGTCTCACATCTGGAAGGGTAGACTGCACCGCAGTACACCCTGAGAGTGTAGGCTGTTCCGCAAAGCACCCTCCAGCCCAACCGACGACGGTTCACTGTATGGGATAGGATCTCAAACGGATGAGAAATACATGCGAACATAATGAAATGGAAGCCATTGGTATTCTATCGCAGGGACGAAGCTGCTAAATCACATTCCATGTCAGTGAGTTAACTGCAAATTGCGAGATCTATTCGCAGTCTCTTCGAGAAATGCAGAAGTTAGTTAGACCGTCGGTACATTCCCTTCTAGGCACGACTCCAAACGTTTAACTTTGTGATTAAGCACTAAATATACACACAACTTGTTCAATAAACCGTTTTACTGTGATTAGCTCTTGAACGTCTTCAGTTTACAGCATCAATAATGTGTTCAAAACGTCACGCATGAAGGGAGGAAAACACTCGTAGACCACGGTCGCATCGATCGTCAAGTCATTAACGATCAACTACTTAGTTAGTCAACTACAAAAGCAGATTGACGTATGGAAGATATCCATGCGAGACCAATACGAACTCCTTTGCCATCCGCTCAAGGCTCAACTACATCCTACGACTTTGCAACAACGGCTATATCACTAAGACCCTCTAGCCACGGCTAATATATTTGTTTTCCTTTTTACGACAAGCGCAAAAAATGGACTCCCCCTGCCCCTCGCCCCCTCACCCCCTCTCCCACACACTCACGGATCATGTCGATGGCGGCGGTGGCCGTTTTGGGCGGACTGCTGGCGTGGTAGGTGGTCTGACAGGTGACCCTCGACCCGAGGTCGGCTCTGGTGAGCGGTCCCAGAGCGAGCTCACTGCGGGAGGAGCCGTCCACAGCTCGGAACCAGGAGCCCGTCACCGGTGAATCGTCCCGGTACCAGGTGACCGCCGGCGCCGGCCAGCCTGCCGACACGGAACACGGCAGGTCAGACTGCATGGCGGCTGGACATGTGGCCAACTTCTGGGCAACAGCTAACAGCCAACTAGAAAACGACGTCTCATTTATGCAGACTGTCCTGGGTGATTTGTTGGCTTATTTGTATGCAAATTGAAATACAAAAGATCAAAAACAAATAAAGAGTGATGGAATGCGAGAATTAATTCCAGTTCGGTAAGACGATCGTTTATTCTAAGTTCCTAAGCAATGATCATTACGACATTGCGTTTAGCCGGCGTGTAAGCTCATTTCATCCGACAGTCGACAGAGACGGCGGACTTCATCAGACTGTATTGTATATCGTCCCGGAGCCGGTGGAACACTTGAAACATGCAAGACACTTTGGCAGAAATGTCATGACGGCCGGAGTGTGATCGTAAAACTCAAACGACACTCCGTCCGCCGGACAAAGACTGAGCCGCCGAATCTGAGATCAAATAATCGTAAAAACTCCCAGACTCCCGTCTCTATAACTGCGGGTGGATTTCGCCGGCCGTCCCGCCCGCCAATCTCGTCTCACCTTCGAACACTGCGCAGGTCACGTTGACAGCCTGACCCTCCCGGTAGGGTCCGATTCGGTCATCCACAGTCTGTCGCCCGAGCTCATCAAAGATCACCGGCGTCCTGGGAGGTACTGTGGGACAGAACGGCGGGGAGGGACACTCAGTCGAGTAGAGCACGACCGGGGAGGGGAGAGAGAGAGAGAGAGAGAGAGAGAGAGAGAGAGAGAGAGAGAGAGAGGGAGAGAGACAGAGAGAGAGAGAGAGAGACAGAGAGAGAGAGAGAGAGAGAGAGAGAGAGAGAGAGAGAGAGAGAGAGAGAGAGAGAGAGACAGAAAGAGAGAGACAGAGAGAGACTGATGCACTAAAATGATTATCCATTCATATGTCTATATTTAGACTAATGTCTTGTCTGAAGACGGACCTCATGTAATGACTAATGCATCCATCCGTCAGTATCTTTTTTAGGCGATCCTTTATTTCATTTTGTCCGTAATCAACAAACGGCGCAAAAGTTGCGTCACTTTCGTCGTTCCCAACTCTGGGAAGAATCGTTTCCTGTTTTGATATCATTTAGCCGTCAGATCAGCACAATCGAAAGAAATATAAGTTGTAAGACAGGCATGGAGGAAACATTCGACTGTTGTTCGGTAGTTCTTTCATTGATAAATGGAGAAGGAGATCGAGAGAGAAAAAGAAAGAAAGAGAGGAAAGAAAGAGAGAGAGAGAGGTAGACAAAGAGAAAAGAGGGAGAGAGAGGGAGAGAGTGTGAAAAAGAAAGGGAGAGAGGAAAAGAGAGAAAGAGGGTTGGAAAACACATTTATCAGTGCATTACCGCGAGGCGGTGTTGTTTTATCACCGGGAGCTATTCCAAGACAAATAGTCATTTGTTGACATCATGGCCTCGGCCACATTAAACACCGTGCTACCAATCACACGGTTGATATTTCGGACGCAGAACACCCTGCATTTTTCTCGACAGAACGCTATGCCTCGATTTGCATAAATTGTCTCGTATCTCGTCGGGGCCGCAGTTGAGATAGTGAGACTGTTCGGGCGCCGCCAGTTGGGTCGTTTCAGCGGCTCCCGAGTCCCCACCCGGCACCCCCGGCCCTCCCGCTCGCGGGCGTGACTTATTGGGTTTGATAGATAGGACCGTTTACTCATGCGTCATTAGATGCAGGCTGAGAACAAAGTTCTCCCACCAACAGCACTGCTGAGACTGACTGATGGAGCGTGCGGCACGCGTGCGCTATGCTAGATCGACTAGTTATCAACGAGGAATATCTCTGGCCAGTCACGGAACTGAGCATATTTCGGTCTCTGTGATGTTTCCGACTTTTACCGTAGGCTGCTGGCTGACTCTGTGGCAGTATGGTTCGGGAAATTTTCCGCGGCGTTGGCTGGCAGTGCTGACTGGACACTGGCCAAGCTGGCCAGGCCAATTACTCGCAATCAGGCACATTTCACAGCGGAGACGGTGAAAGGAGACTGCGGGGACGCGTTTTTAGTCCCTCTCAACCGACGTAACATGTGATGCTGGTCAGCGTAAATAAGTCTTTATTCAAATAAATGAGTAATTTTTTGAAAAATGCTATCTAAGAAACATCAAACCATTGCATATAGTCATTTTGCGAGTTGATTAACGTACACTGCATTAATTATTACGGGTCCTTCTGCGAACTCGCTGTCTTGGTTGTCCGGCACGGTCTGCATAAATTACGAGCGAGTAAAACGACTAAGCCTGTCTGATGCGTGTGGCATGAGATGTCGCTCATACCGTTGTTTGTAGGGGAGAGTGGGGCAAAGCGGCCACCCTAACGCTTCTCACGATGCCAACGCTTGATTTTTAAACTTGGAAAGATTCTTTCTATACCAATGTGATCCCTATTAAGTTGCCTTTCATTTCAACTGCGTTTTATTTCCAAAGGCGTTCACATATGGAAGATATTGACAAAACTTTAAACCTATGCATATTGGCCACTTTGCCCCATACCCTGGGGCAAAGCGGCCACCGGCGTCTTCTCAAGTCCCGATATGAGAAACAAAATAGTTGCCTCATGTACGACTAGGGTTCTTGATGGTGACAAGGTTTAAGCGAGGATGGATGTTTGCTTTGTTTAGCATCCCACCTGTAGGTAAACAAAGAAAGGATTTTCATGAAAAAAAAAACATTTAATTGCAATATTTGGTAACTCATGCAACTGAAAAGTGGCCAAGATGAATGCATGACGACACATTTGAATATAAATAATGTTTTTAACCAGATGGAAACAACTTATGGCCAATTGGTGGTGGCCACTTTGCCCCGGCCACTTTGCCCCGCGCATACCGTCCGAGACAAAAATATTCCAGCTTAGCTATTAGTGGGGTAAAAACATTAACCCGCGCCCTGGTGGGGTCTGTTTATAACGCGACCTGGTGGGGGGGGGCTATTTTTTGCCCCCCCCTCGTATCTCCGAAACTACTGGACGGATCCGCAAAATTCAAACGGCGTTCGATAGCCCTGTCAAATTTGTCGAGGGAAACCAAATTTCATTGACCTCGGGGTCACCGATGACGTCACAGGTCAGGTCAAAGATAAAATGTTTCACCGTTCACGGGGCTTCTAGGGAAAGCGCTATAACACCGAATAAAACGCATTTTGTCGAAAATCAGCGATAAGACGTCAGTTGTCTAGTACATATGTTGCTATTAGAGGTCACTGGTCATACCAGGTCAGGTCACAGGTCAGGTCACCAAAGGTCACCAAGGGTCACCCCATGAACCCAACTTTACTAAGGTTGTGCGATGCATGTTTTATGGCCAATTTTTCATTTCCAACCCAATGGTGTTGGTTATAAGACCATCAGGTACGGTTTAGGTCACTTTCTGGTGGAGGTCAGGTCAAGGTCAGGTCAAAAAAGGTCAAATTTTAAAGTTGATATTTTTGCATTAAATTGGTATCGATTCGATGCAGCTCGTCACGGGGAGTCTAATGGTGGTCTTTGTTTTGCGCTACGAGTTCTAGAATTGCTAAAAATTGAGTTTGAAAATTTGACGTCATCAATTTTGAACAGTTTTTTCGCTATAACTTCGCCAAAAAAAGAGGTATCAATCTAAAATTTGGTATGTGGATGGAAGGCGGTAAGGACTATCACATATATTCCGGTTTTTGCGAAATTCAAAAAACTTTTTGGATTTTTTGACTGTTATATACCAAAAATCTATTTTTTGATTTTTGGGGGTCAAAATCCAAAAATTTCAAAAATCCGAGATAGCAATTTTGTAGCCCTGTCAATTCTACAGCTTTTATGTCCTTATCATTTTTCTGTATTTGCAAAGCTATAGGCCTGACAGCTCTTCCCGCGGAACCCTTTTTTGGGTCGAAAACGGCAGAACATGACGTCACTCTGACGTCATTTCCGGCTAACCTATCATAGCCTTTGGAAAAATTTTTGGTCACCATGTGTAAAATTGATGTCCGGGAGGGTACTGAAAGTTTGGTGACGATCGGCGCAGCGGTTCTGGAGATATATCGAAAAGTCTGGAGGGGGGGCAAAAAATAGCCCCCCCCCCACCAGGGCGCGGGTTAAAATTGGTAGAATACATGTACGATAACAATGCAATGCATGGACAAGAACGCTTATAAAAATTCCAAACGGTTATGAAATAACATAACATTTAAAAATTGTAAACATAGTTGGTAACCTGGCAAGAAATGCTTTTTCCGTGTTTCACAGAACAATGGTGATGGGCCTGAAACCCCGGTCTGACTCATTCGAACGACGGTGAAGAGAAGTATAATTGGAAACCATAAATTGGAACTGACGCCAGCTATGAAGGGCTAAAACGATGGGTGGCCGCTTTGCCCCGGGTGGCCGCTTTGCCCCACTCTCCCGTACTTCGCCTTTGTGCGTATGCTAGTTCTTTCAAACTGATCACCTCCTAAGTCCTAATGACTAGCTATAGCAAGGTCTGCCGATTATTAAGGCCGGGACTTCTACCTTTCCTCAACCGTCATCCAGACTACTAAACCCAAATTCTAACTAGTCGAACTTCAGTCTACTCCCGCCTGCCGGTTGCACCGCCCACCTACCGACCACGGTGAGGTTGACTCGCGGGTTGCGTGTGGGCGCCTGCACGTAGTCCACGCGGCACCGGTAGACGCCTGCGTCGGCCCTGCTGACGGCGGAGATGCGCAGAATGGCCGGCCGAGCCGTCGGGTCGAACTCCAGTCGACTGCCGGCCTCACCGTTCACCCAGTGAGCGCCTGTCGAGCCACCGAGCTGACCGCGGGCGTCGTACCTGGCGCAGCGGCGGCGAAAAGTGACGCACTGGGACGGCAGGCGAACTGCATGACGATCAGAGGCGCAACAGCGGCGAGGCGGCAGGGGCGCATGCAGGGACTTCTCGCATACCGTCTGTCAGCTGCGGGGACTGTCGGACTGTCAAGGACTGTCAAGACTGTCGATACGGACTGTCAAGATGGACACATACGGACTGTCAACTGCGGGCTTAGACGGCCAGTGGCGTGGTTTAGATAGTCAGTGGCGTGGGTTAGACGGGGAGCGGCGCATAGGACAAAATCAGTGGTCAATTTACAGGACAGACAGGCAGCGGCAGTTCATTTCATCAGTGCCTCAGTGGTACGGGTAAGACGATCTATGGCACGAGTGAGACGGCTAGTGGCACAGCTAGCGGTGCCATCACGGGAATTCCTTGCCACTATGGGATACATAACTCGTGCTGCAATGTTTGCAGAGTTTATGGTACACTGTAGAAAGTTTAGAAACTGGCGACCCGACTGAAGGCATCTCATCTGACGTGGGATCTGACACTGACACCGTGACGCTGAGCTCCTGCCGTGCGCGCAGGTGGGAAACCTGGGTGTTGTATTCGACGGCGCACTCACCTGGGAAGCACACGTGGCCGAGCTGAGCCGTCGCTGCATGGGCGTACTGATCGGCCTCTCCCACGCACGACACTGCCTCCCAGACGGTATCCTCAAAACGATCGTGACTGCACTCGTCATCTCGCGCGTCCAGTACTGCCTCACTGTATATGGAAATGGCTCCCAGAAAAACTTCGACCGACTTCAAAAAATTCTAAACTTTGCAGCACGGGTCATATTCGGCCGCCGAAAATTCGATCACGTCTCTGGCCTCCGCGATTCACTCGGATGGATGCCTCCGAAAGCTATGGCCGATGTTAAAACCATGGTAACTGCGCAGAAAATAATAAGCAACGGCGAGCCCGAAGCACTAGCTGCCATCTTCATGAATAACAGTGACGCGCGAGAGAGGTCCACTCGACAGGACCACCTTTTCCACCTTCCACGCTCGCGGCTCGAGACTGGCAAGCGACGATTCGGCTACCGGGCCGCGGCGCTACTAAACAGTCTGCCTCCCGGTGTCATCGAACAGCGCCCCGCCCCATTCGCCCGTGCGGCCAAGGCTGCAGTCTGTCCGGCGATGGCGACCGCCCGACGATGACCCGTGTTAGAGGAAGGAGGTGCGACATCCGTGTGCGGTGTGCTGTCTTGAATCGTCCGTTTGTATAGGTATAGAGAGAGCGAATGTCCAGCGATTGAATCTGTATGCCTGTGTTTCTTGTCCCCGCATGTTTTTGTTTGTGCCCGACTCAGACTCTGGACTGTAATCGCCACGCCCCGCGTGGATTGTCCATGAAGGTAATACATACAATACATACATACATACAGGAGCTATGTTCAGTACAAGCGACGGGATATGCTGGGCCAGTGACAATATCCGCTGTGTATTTTTGGTAGGTATAGCGTTGTGCACATAAAGGAGTCACTAAGTCTTCGCTGGACAAAATTCACAAAGAGCTATAGCTCCCCATCGTTACGACATTTACTGCCATATAAACTAAAACATCAACATGCAACTGATGGAAGTTTATGAGTCAAGTTGTCAAAGTTAAAGTCATTTATCCCTGGGAGACAAAACATCAGCAATTTGATTTTGTTGTTGTAACGGCATCTCTATCTTGCGAGAGGCACTGTGAAAAATCTCGTCATAGTTAAATCAATTGGAACTCTGATAGAGACAGAGGCTAAAGAAGCCTTGTAAGTACAGCTTAGGCCAATTGGTCAACAAATCCGGGCCCATGATGCGCCCGGACTTTTGTGTGCTCGCCCGGCTGTTTTACCAATGAATGGTGGCTGATACGGGCGGCGAGCCGAGCCGGGCCCGCTCTTCGTCCGAAGCTCATCACATTTCTCTGCGCCGATCCGCCGCCGGAATGGTGCCATTCTTTTCCGGCAGTGGGCGGACGTGAGCTACTGACACCCCGACCCCCCCCCCCCTCCCGCGGCCGCCGCGCCATCCAGCCGCTAATAGGAGCGGATTATGCAGGATGTTGCCGACACTGACCGTCTGCCGTCCCGGCGTATATAGCCGCCGCTCCATAAAACCAGGCGCCGCACCATACCGCCACTAACAACACCGCCGTCGGCATTGTGCTCTCGCGGCAGCCAGCGGCCGCAAAGTGCAGCGGGTCTTTTGGAGGGTCCAATGAGCCATGGCGGCGGCTCGGCCGGGTGCCTTGGAGGCCGACGGAGACGCCTTTGGACCCAAGCTCGCCGGCGCGGTGGGAGGGCGCGGACGGCTGTCGGCCCTGGCACTACCAACTGGAGAAGGGGGATACCGGGGCATGGAGAAACTACAGGGCTACGTGACCTGACACGAACGGGCAACAGCTGGCAGTTTTCGGGTTCTGGAAGCCTGGGGACTGTGGAGCCAGTGATTCTATTTACATTTGGTAAGTGTATAACAGCTCGTGAGCATGTCGCCAGGAGCTCAAAGGTTGAGTTTAGTTGTGAGCTGCGTCACAATGCGAATGTGTTCTATGCTCGGTATGCTACAAAGTAACCGAAGCTGACCGGTCGCCGGTCCCACTCACGTGTAGATGGTGCTGGCGGCGAAATACCAGAGGACCAGCCGCAGACCGGCCGCGCTCCCCGAACTGTCGGTGACGTCACACGGCAGCTCCGCTGATTGGCCCTCGACGGCAGACACGTGACTGACCTGGTCTGGGGCGCGGCGAGAGGCGAGCGTGAGACAATGCAATGGGACTCAGTCTTCGGCTTTGAAAGCTTTTAATTTACTCGTGCATAAAATGTGTGGAAGTTACTAATAAAGATGTCACTACATGACCATAGGGCTCGGCCGTTAAAGGGAGTTATTAATTTAGGTATTCAGGATAGTTAAGGAAAAATGGTGCATTTGATAAACTTTTTAATATTTTGCCTTTTTATCGTATTTTTGCATGAGTGCTTTATAAGAAGCCTATCAAAATGCCTTCTGCGAGTTTGTAAGTACATCTTCGCATCAGTCTTAGACCACTATATATCCATCAGTACGTCTTACCTCTCTTTACCTTTCCGTAAAGACCTGTTAAAGAGAAACCCTTTGTGAAGACATACAATGTATTGTTGACGTATAAATTGGGACTTGGTCGTCCCCACATTATTCATTGAGTTTCGAAGCACGAACATGATTAAGTTCTGCTAGAAACCGCTTATAATTTAATCATCTATTGATAGGATTGAAGGGATTGCTGAAAACTTTTAATTAGCATGGCTGAAAAACTGGCTGTCTTCGACGTTGCCACAAAACACTGCCAAACTTGTGAGACTGAAGAAAGGTCCCGCCATTGACAGGCACCAGCACTGGAAAGTGGAAACATTCCTTGAGATATCGGAATTTGGATGAAATATAAAAAAGGTTTGAAGTATCAAGTCTAATGGCACATTACACTATATGCAACAATGCAACATAAAAATTGCAGATAATGCATACTGTTGAAAACTGCTGACAGTCATTGAAATGAAAACAGGATAGTTTAATTGAAGACTGAAGTAACTGCGTAGTCGTGCCAAGTCACAAAGTCATAAAGGCATGTAAAATGTATACTGTAGATAGTCTATGTAATTGGATCAAGGGGTAACGACCGGCCCAACCCGTCGAATTGCTCCGCTTTGGACCGCGGTCGATACTGATAGCATAATTCATACAGCAGTACCAATATGTGTTACAGAAAACAAAGCATACAGTAGGGAGACATCAGAGTTGGTAACTACGGTTGTAACGACATTTGCCATCATCTCTTGAACGCGGTATGACGGCAGACAGTTTTCACGCCCACACATATCAGTGGATGCCGGGGAATATCAATCTAGTGTCGCTGTAAAATACTCGAGGGTCTCACGGACCAAAAAAGAGGCGCCGACGGCTCCGACGAAGTCTCGTCCGCGTAGCGCGGCTGCTGGAAAACAAAGGATTCCGACTCGGACCATTAATCCGGTCTTCACACGGCTGTTCTACTGATTATCCTCTCCAAACAACCGACAACTGCACGAAACTTAGAGCGAAACTATCGAACGAGCGATGTACAGTGAACTTCTACATACAAAATCCAAAATAGCTGAAAACTTTTTTGTCAAGATTATGGCGCAATGGCATGGTTGAAAATTGAAATATGTTGGGTGGAGACTTCCATTTCGCGTCTAGCTAGACGCGTCTAGGTCTTAGACGCGTCTAGCTGGACGGCGGCTGCGTCTGGCTGGCGACTGCTAACTTTAGACGCGTCTAGCTTGGAAGTCTCCGTCCACGCCAAGCTAGACGCCAACTTGGACGTCTGCTCAGTTAGACGCCAGTTGGACGCCGGTGGAAGTCTCCACCCGTTATGAATTATGGTATGCTGATCAAATAACAAACACAAAACGTTCACATTCGAGTCTGTGAACTGTCGCGTCGACTGAAAGTGTGAAATGATAAATAGAATTACAAGAGGAGTGAGTTTCAGGAGTGAAATAATAATATTTAACCCGGCACCGCCTGGGCTATTTCCGTACCCACGACAGCCTGGGGGGGGGGGGGTCGGATCCGACCCCCCCCCCCCTGTTATCTCGAGAACCAATGGTCGTATCGAGCCCCGCGAGGCGGCGTTCGAAAGGTCTCTACGAGACCTTCCCAAAGCACTCTTAAGATTTTAAGATTGAGGTCAACTTTCGGGTCAAGGTCAGGTCAAAGGTCAAATTCTGGGGTTTTGCATGATTAGGCTTACGGACAGCGGAATCGATAGCTGCTGCTCGAAACTCACCACAAATGACCTCAAAGACCTAGTGAAGGTACCATGTGCGTATAGGGGTCATACTAAGTACGGGTCAAGGTCAGGTCAGGTCACGAAAGGTCACGGTTTTCACTTTCTGCTACATGGGCGTGCGACACATGTTTTATGGCTTATTTTTCACGCCAAATCCGATGGTAATGGTTATATGTGACCCCAAGTCACTGTGCTGATGATAAGTGTGCATTGAAAGCATAAAAAATCGTTTATACCATACATAACTAAACGAGGGCTAAGAAAAAAAGTCAATTTTTCAACTTTTTATTTTCGACATAAAAATGCACTTTTCTAGACGAGCTTTGTCCCAGGAATCTAGTGGTGCCATTTGTTTTCACATGCGATGTTCAGAAGTGCCTCTAATTCTCGAAAATGCTTATGACGTCACCATGCCCTACGCATGTTGAAGCTATTTTTTTACAATTTGGGGGTCAAAAATCGAGATAGAAAGTTGAAATTTGGGACATCTAATGTTCTAATAGAGCTCTACAACATATATTCCGGTTTTTTGGAAATTCTCAAAATTTTGGATTTTATTAGCTGTTTTCCAAAAAATATAGTTTTTTGAATTTTTAGGGGTGAAAAACGCATTTTATGGAAAATCCGAGATAGCCATTTTAAAGAACTCGTTGAGCTGCGTCTTTTCATGTCCTTAATTTGCAATTTGCTTAAAACCTCGATTTTTGGCGATTTTTTAAACATTTACCACTTTTTGACCGAAAACGCCATCTAGTTACATCACTAAAATCGATATATCTCAAAAAATTTTGAAATTTTTTTCTTAAAAATTGCACAGGAGACGTCAAATTGATGGGGGAGAAGGTATGCCAAGTTTCAAGTTGATAACGCAAGCGGTTCATGAGTTATTCAAGAAAAACGGAGGGGGGGGGGTCGGATCCGACCCCCCAGGCGGTCGCGGGTTAAGCTGCAGCTTTTTATACATTGCTCATTAAATTCTTTAAAGAAACATTCAAACATTGCTAGCAGTTACACAGTATTGCTATTTTATTTTAGGTAATTGTGTATGACTGCGAAACTGACATTTTTATGTTAAATAGGTCATTATCAGGTAAAATGCCTGAATAAATTGAAAAATGTATCTACTTAAAGTGCATAGTTTGCATATTTTTTAAAACAAATTTAGTCCGAACCTTCTCAATAGAAGGATTCACAAGGACAGAGCCCCCGCTAAGCGAAGCTTGTTGCGTTGATCTTGCCTTCTACCCTCCAATCGAGCAATTCCGATTCTATGGTAGAATTTAGAGTCGAAAATTTAACGTGCGGCGTATGTACAGGTCTCGCGGGTTTTAGCGGTAGGTTTTGCACCTAGAAAATTTAGTGTACTTCAGGCTATATCTTCGTCGTCTTAAGCTTTTAAGTGTTGAAGATGCGATCGACTTGTTGGGTAACAAGCCGGCCATGATCGTGTAAAATGGCTTCATCGTAGATCGATTAGTTTCTGAGATATAACCAGAAATGTAAAAGTGCAAAACCTACCGCTTAATCTCGCGAGACCTGTACATACGCACATATCCGCGCATGGCCGGTCCCCTCGCTGACTTCGCCTGGCTACGGCCTGCCACCGACCGTAACCATACCGGTCAGGAGGCCCGTAAATGGCAAGCGCCCGTCGCGCTTCGAACCCGGACTGTTGTAACCGGGAACGCGTGCTCTCACCATGCGGAATCCAATGCTCTACCGACTGAGCTACGGGACCGACAAACAAGTTTTACAATACACGAAGTATGTACAAGAACATCTTTCGGACATTTGATCTTCCAAATACAGATACTTACTTATAATCCCCACATAAGTAGGTACAATAGGGCAAGGTTTACCGTTTGCGTGACGTGCAGGCTGCAGCGTTAATTTGCAGCTAATTCGCACCACAGTCCACAACCGCAGCTACATAGTTCGCTAGCACGTAAACAAAGTTCGGTAGATAAAGGGGCTGCTTGAACTATCCAACGAGTATCGTTCCTATTTACCTCGGTGCCTGCCACAGAAGCTGATCGTGAGCGACTCCTATCAAGTTGTAATTGCCAAAACCATATAAGAGCTGCTTTGTTGTGCATTAAATAAAACAGTCACCAGATGTAGACCTGACGAAAAGAAAACGAACAGACGCTTCCAGAACAGTTTGTCTTGCTTAATTTTAGCTTGTCCTTGTCTCTCCAAGGATCTGCCTGCCTGCCTAAGCACCTCCCACCTCCTTTCTCACTTCCCTTTCATTCTATCCGCCGCCCCGCGACTGCGATCGCTGCCTGCTGCGTCAGGTCCGGTCCGGCCGGTCGGCGGCCAGCGAACGTGCTAAATTGGTCCTAATTTCACGGCGTTCCAGCCGAGCGGGCCTGTTCGTCAGCGCCGCTAGTCGCACCGGCCACAGTCTGTCGGGCTGTAAATGGCGAGCTATGTCCAACGGCTGGCATCAACGACCTCCTATACCGCCGCCGTCAGCCGGCGCCGCCGCTGCTCGGCCAGGGTCGCCAGCGCGGCGCGGCGGTCACCGATAGGGGTGTCATATGGGTACCTACCCGTGGTTACCGCGGTGGCTATCCTACTCTCGCCGTCAGCCAAGGTCGCCGGCGCGGCGGTCAACGATAGGGGTGCTCCATGGATTTGGATACCCGTGGATACCAGCGGCTCTGGCTACCATACCGCCGTCAGCCGACGCCGCTGCTCAGCCACGCCGGCGCGGCGGTCACCGATAAGGGTGCTCCATGGATACCCGTGGCTACCGGTGGCTCTGGCAATCCTCCTGCCGTCGTCAGCCGGCGCCACCGCTGCTCAGCCGGGGTCGCCGGCGCGGCGGTCACCGATAGGGGTGCTCTGGATACCCGTGGCTACCGGTGGCTATTCTACCGCCGCCGTCAGCCTGGTACCATATAGCTACTCAGAGAGTTACCAGCCGGTCACCGGGATGCCTACGTATGGCTACTCGTGGTTACCGGGGGCTATCTTCCGCCGCCGTCAGCCGGCGCCGCGGCTCAGAGAGTCACCAGCGGTCACCGACGGATGCCTATTGCTAATCATCAGTCAGCGGGTTCGCTGATATACGACATCAGCCAGCAGAGCTACTGATATTCACCATTCGCAGTTGGGATCACTGATATTCGCCGTAGCCAGCCGCGTCCCTGATATTCACCATCATCCGGCAGACCAATGATATTCACCATCAGTCAGCAGGGGTCACTGATCCTCACCATCGCTGAGATCACTGATCACCATCAGTCTATAGGGGTCACTAATCTCCATCATCGGTCGA